GTCTTAATGTGCCCGCTGGGTAATCCCGAACAGCTGGTCGGAGTTACTGCATGGCACTTTAATAAGATGTGCACAGTACCAGTGCTCTTCGGGGGGGGGGGGGGAGGGGCATTTTGGATTTTGGGGGCGTCAGAACCCTCTGAATAGGGGCTTTAATTTTGGGCACAATAGAGAACCCGTCCTGCGAGAGCCGAAGTATACATTGTCCGGTCGAAATTGATGCGATTTTAGGGAAGAAAATAACTGTGAGTAACTTTTACATTGCTATAGGAACAATTAATAGGCCTACAACAAATATATTTTTTCGGGTAAATATTGAAATAGCAAAGGGAATACATCTTTCCTTAAAACTAAAATGAGAACCGACCCTTCAGATAGATATCTATACCAAAGTCTTCCTCATTGCATGTTTTCATGTTTATTGTCTTTATAACTGGAACGAGTTTAAAGAAATTGTATGATAGCAATTACATTTCCTAAGTTAGAATGTTCCAACTTCCAACTGCAACTTTGTGTAATGGTCTTCCCTCTCAGTTCAAAAACATTCTTCTTGAAAAACAATTTTAATGTTGCGAGCGGGGCACTGATAAAGTTGTGCTTTCGAGCAGGGGGGGGGGGCGGAAGGGGTAACGCCCTCTACGTTGAAATTGATCTCATTTCCCCCTCGCGACGTGGGCAGTTCGAAGCTCCGTCGTTAACGCACGTAGCTCCGTGAACATGTATTTACACGGAACCGGGTGCTCGCGAGGGGTCACGTACGTATACATCAACATCTGGTGCGCGTGCCGGTGCAGCGCTGAGTAAATGGCAGAAACCATTTTCTCAAACAAACCCTGGAAAAAACTGTCAAATATCTAGAGGATGTACGGAGCGATTTTTGTGAAACTTCCAGGAACAAAAGATCAATCCTTAAAAATTACGATCAGAGAAAAAAATCAGAGGATGAACGATACAATTTTTCAAATTATGTCGATATTTGTACCCGTTTCAGGGGAGACATTTTGTAATGAATTTCCCACCTAGACACATTCAAAGCAGTTAAGCACGTTGATCCTGGCATTAATCAATCACAAATGTTCGCTAATGTTTTTACGCATTTTTATATAAATGAAGCAATCGTATCAATTGGAATTACTCGTTGAACCTATGCTGTCATGTTTTCAATGCTGATAGAGAGAGCATTTCAACATTAAAAATGGTTTCCTTTTTTTTTAAACAACGCTCACCTCTTTTAAAAATGGAATGTATCCAAAGAGAATAGTCCGCGATTTTTTGGTCTGGAACCCAGACCCCTTCCGCCCCCCCCCCCCCTGCTTTCGAGGGGCGGTTTTACATCTCGAGAAGTAATCGCGAGAGGAGCACTATTGTGTTTGATGGCCAATTTCCATCTCGAGGGGGGCACCATTGTATTGTTGCGAGAGGGGTATTTGTGCTTTCGAGGGGTAGTTTTCCATCTCGGGAAGGTGCACAATCTTGTTAATGCGAGAGGAGAGGGCACTTGGGTTTTTGAGGGGCAGTTTTCCACAAGAGAGGAGACAATTTTATTTGTAGCGCGATCATATTTTTTCATGTGTGCGTTTGAAGCCTTAATGAAGGGCAGTTTTGTTTTCATATCAAAGGGCACATATATAATCGCGAAAGGGGCACTTTTGTTGGTCTGGGAAAATGTGGGGGGGGGTCCCCCCCCCCGTTATCCCGCCCCTGGTTGCCATGACGACTTGAAGTAATGTTAAAAAAATCATAACACATGTTTCTTGTTGGGACTTGAGTTTATTTTGTCTTGACGTATCAGTCTTAGAAACTCACTCAGTATATGTTTTAAGAATTAAAAGGGAAAAGCATTTAGGATTACCCCCACTCCCCCTAACCTGGTGCATGTTTTTTAAGGATTCTTTTATAAATTTGTGTAGTATTTTTTTCAAACCGATTAGACCGTTAAACCGTTAGACCCAGAAAAAATGGATTTCGAGCCCTCAAGCGACATTCTGGGATACGGATAATATCAATAAAACAATTTCTAAAGTTGTATGATCACCTTCCACACCAAAATAAGCGAAGCCGAATAAAATATAAAAAAAACAAATTATTCTTATTATTATTTTTCATGACAGGAATTCATAATATTTTTTTCCGTGCATTGTAATGATCATTATCTAATGAGTTACATTTTGAAGCTATAATGAACGTGTTTCAGACGCCAAGGGGACGGGAAGGCACCAAGGACGGCATTAGTGACGCACTCTGGCCGTTGCCAAGGAAACACAACAATTTGCCTTCCAATCCACTGGTCGTGTTTCCCATGTTCCCGACGCGGCCCCGCAATGCATCGCTGGGAAGGGCAACCTGCTGCTTTGGGATTATGGCTAGGCAATTATTCATTATCGTTGATGACTGCTCTTTTCTTGCTGTCTTTTTTTCCCTTTTTTTTTGAGGGGAATAAAAAGATCATACCTATTGCCTAATGAGTTTTTCTATTGCCTATAATGGGTTTTTTTTTGCAATTGCAGACGGCAAAAAACATTACGAAATAACATCTCCTGAACCGCCATTGGAACTCATCTTCCCTCTCCAATTCCCGTCAGAATATTCTTTTTTTTACTTTCTGTTCAGAATAAAATATGCTAATTGTACACGTCTAGCTGATTATTCCCCAAAAGAGCCTACTTTCTTTCTTGTATTTGGACTGGTCGTTAAAAACAATGTACGAGGATTTTCATTATATTTTTTTTAAGGATCCAAAACATCCGTATATAGGAAAAAAAAGCAAACAACTCAAGTAAAAAGCAAGCAACAGGTCGATTTTTAGACCTTAAAAACAGGTTTTACAACTTGTGTCTATTCTTTGAAGATTTGCATAGTAATATGCGGACAAAAGGTTGGCATAGTTAGGCCCTAAATGAGTATACAAAAGGTTGAGGTTTACCGATGACTTGTGGGTCTATTTTTGCTTCAGTAAAGTGTTGGTTCTTAAAGCACTGGTCGGGAAAAATTATTTTAGTACTGACCGTCCACATGAGAATGCCATCATGGTAGAAATATCGGCCCAATATCGGCCATCATTTCCTCAAACAAAATGGTTAAGGTCAGAAATTACCTCAGATTGCACCACAGAGCATCTAGAATCAAAAAGATTCCTGGACCCTTGAGCGGGGCCCCGAACGCCACGCTGTAATTTTTTTGGGCCCACTTTTTGGGGGACCAAAATTGTTTTTGGTGACTTAGCGTCAAACTAGCGGTAGCCCACTAGCCAAATGCAAGTCAAAACAGCGGCGGGCTAATCAGACTATTCCAAGTAGCACGGCTGGCTAGTCAAAAAAAATTATTGGGATACGGCAAAGATGAAAGGACAAGAAATAAATCATGAAATTTCGAAAGCAAATCTGTATCAATTTGTGTATAATTTTATCAACTGTTTTAAAGGGTTAAATTATTAGATGTGTTTGTTAAAAACACTGACAAAATCAATTTGTGTATAATTTTATCAATTGTTTTAAAGGGTTAAATTATAAGATCTGTTTATTAAAAACACTGACAAAATTGCCCAGAATAGATGAGAAATCAGTTGGAAATGGGTAAAAACACATCGCGTACTTGCGTGAGAACGTAAATGACTACGCGAAGATTTACCTATAGGTACATCCGATGGATTCTAGATTTATTCAGGCTCGTTTGGATCACGTTTTAATACAGTTCTTATCAACGGTCATTTTAGATTTGTTTGTAAATGAAAATAAATTTAAGTTTAAGTTTTATGTGAAAATTCCCCTGGGCTATAGTTAAGAGTCTGTTTCAGTAGCCCGGCTGGCTAGTGAAAAAAAGTTAAGGTCTAACCCTTTATAAACACAGTTTTTTGCAGTAAAGTTTCATCACTCGTATACAAAAACTAAACAGATAATGTACACCACATAAACAGTTTAGGTAACTTTATAAAAGAGATCGAGGACCGTGTCACTTGTCCCTCCCCATCCTGCAGAAATTCGAGAAGCTAAGAGACAAGAGCTATGTCCGAAACTATATATGTGACCCTACTCACCGAGTGCGTCCCCCCCCCCTCCCCTAGACAATGAAGTACATAAGTAGCACCCAATTGCATATTGCACTGTAAGTAACTGTGTACACGCAAGCCGTGTATGTGGCATTCGCCTCGTCTGCAAGAGATATACCGAATACCCCCAGGCGCTTCAATTCATGAATACAAGGATAAAAGCGGTTTATTGCATCAACTAATTCTTGAGGAAGCATTTTTGTCATACCTCTGTCTTGAATACTGTATTTTCATTGACCTAGAACGATCACGTGCTAAGTTTATAAAATGTCATGGCACACTCCCCGTGGGATCCACGGTGAGTGTGCTATGCCTTTTGCGTATACGGTGCGTACGGTGCGTATCGTTGGTACCCACGCTATTTTCACCATGTTTTCACATAATGAGTACGTGCCGGAGCAGCGAACTAGCAGACGATCAGCTGTATCGAGCACGCGACATGCCGAATGTGAGTTGACATTCGATTGTCATGATTGCTGTATTTACTGCCGTTTGTTTTCGTGATTTTTACATCAAATTAAAGCCAAAGAATCCAAGACAGAAGTATAACAAAACAATTGTTGACTGCTGTGATATGGGATAGGACGTGTTGGACACCCTCGGGGCGCATCATGAGCACCCTCGGCTTGCGTCCCGCGGTGTTCAAGACGTCATATCCCACATCACAGCAGTTTGTTAAAATATTTTTACACGCCCTCTTATAGGACAGTTTTTGAACAGAAAATGTGAACACTCGGTAAATTTTGTCTCTTGTTAGGCACAGAGTGCGTTACTTGTTTCCATATATTTGGCCCAAACAATGACTGCCCACTTTCGGCAAAATTGCGACATCAAATTACAAGGAATTTTGTTTCTCCCAAACAACTGATCTGAAGAGTTAAGTTATATGCATGTATATAGAACGACAACAGTCAAGAAACGGAAATACTTAACATCGACGCATTTTTACAGATTATAGTTAAAGAATATCATCGGTGTTGTGTTACCCAATATAATATAACACAAGAATATTAAATCACACCATTTCTGTATTTTAAAACACCAGTTTTGTTTCCACTAGAGAAAAATGCATAGGCGTATACACATAAGCATCTCTTTAGTCCGGCGTTTATGTCGAATCAAAAGTTGGTAAAATATTAAAATATATCTGCGTTCAAAAAATTCTGTATTTTTATCCAAACAAAATGTATTTTTTCAATGACACCCAGGACAACAAAATGGCAATCGATCTAAATCAAGAAAAAAAAACCTGTTAAAGCAGTACTCATGACAAAGTTGAATATGTCATCGTCAACAAAGAGCTATGGTCGGCGATAGTTTGATGAGATAGATCTTCATTTCCACAACTTCTTCCAAATGGTATGCGACCGTTACATTTATTGCGATTATTCGTTTTGAACCACCGCTGTTTTATTGCGACACAGCTTGCAGTCACGGAATGACTTGCTGCAGTCCTCCCTGAAGCGGCTGTTCATGAGACTGTACACGAAGGGGTTGGTGACGAAATTGAAGAGGAACAGCCAGCCCATGAAGCAGGTCAAGATCTTGAGCCAGTCTTCTCGATAGATGAGCCACTCGTGAACGCTGTGTATGCTGACCTCGACGACAATGGTCGGGAACCAGGTCAAGACGGCCGTCAGAGCAGCCACCAGGAGCATGTTGGTCGTCTTCTTTTGCATCTTGAGGTTCATGGCCGTGGCGGCAGCCCGTTTCTGCAGGGCCCTTGCGATGGGAGCAGCCACGGGTTTGTTATCGGTAGTGCCTGCATTCAGCCTACCATCCTCCCTGGTCGACCCTCCTGCAGGACTTTCATCAGCCGCTAACACAGACCGGGGCTTGATTTTGCTCCACGCCGTGGCCATCCGCGGACTTGCCCGAGGCTTGGATACTGGGCTTGGCCTGCCCCTGTCGTCTGCGGGCGACGCGGTCACCCTGAGGTGTGAGTTTTGAGCTGGAACGATGGAGGGCAGTACCGGGCGATGAGGCACCTCGCCGGCAAGCAGGAGAGCGCGGGCAAAGGCATTTGTGCTCTTACCGCTCAGTGTAGCCGACTTCTCGTCCCGTGGTAAGGGTGAGTTCTCCTCGTCTTGGGATGATCTCGAAGGGGTGTTGGGCGGGAGGAAGTTGGTAGAATGGCTGGCTAATTCAGGGTTGATAGCATCATTGTCGATGGGACTGGGGTTTTCAGTGTTGTTCTGAACTGATGGTGTGCCGGCACTACCTTCCCGGTTCGTGACGACAGTCAAGTGCGATATGAACCGGATCACTGGCCGTACCACTCTCATGCGAGACACATCACCTTCCTCTTGGGTGGCAATGCCACCGCTGACACGCTTCCGTATAGTCAGATAAATCCTCAAGTACGCCATAGTCAGAACCAAGAACAGCAGCCCGAACCAGACAGTGTAGAGTATGAACACAGCCTTGTGGAATGTGCCATCGACGTTTCGATCACACAGCGTGATATTCACACGGTCGACTGCATCGTCCGACTCAAAATGCACCTTGTCGGCATCAACTTCGATGGTTTTAATATCATAGGAGAATAGTACTGCGACGCTGGTGACAGCACTGAGCAAGAGACAACTGGCCACGACCCCCTGGGCCCTGCCGGTGGTGATCTTCCACTGGTGCGGCCGGCAGACGGCATTGTACCGGTCGATGGCGATTGCTACCGTTATCAGCACCGAGCACTGGGCGAAGTAATGATAGCCGAAGCCCACCAGACGGCAAAAGGCCCGGCCACCCTCCATCTCGTACTCCAGACTCCAGGAGACGATCTCCAACGGAAAGGTGAAGCAGAGGGACATGAGATCACTCAGGGCCAGCCCCATGATCAGGATGTGGGTGCTGGTCTTGCGAGGCTTGCCGAAGTAGACATGCAGAATCAAGATGTTGCCGGGAGCCCCAAGCACCAAGGCGATGCAGTTAATAATGACCAGCATCAGTTGATGGGGGGCCAAGGAATACATCCTTACGGTGTAAAACTGCCCTCCGCCGATCCTTAATAACAAAGAGAGATATTGTATCAATTTGTCTTAGAAGTATACCTTACACTTGTACAATGACGTTTGTTTTTGACGTAATTCCCAGAAACTTCTCTAATTTTCGCAGATAAAAAGAACCCCGAAGGCATGATGAATAATGGACGCATCCGCATTCACTCCTCTTCGTACAATTTTTCGCAGAAAAAAAGATAGCACATTCACATGCTTTGATCGGATCAAAGGCTCTGTGTACATAAGTTCCCTTTCAGGAAAGTGAGGTGATGTGATGTTATCTTATGTGATGCACAGGTCGTCACGTGGATACATTTTTTACAGCGACACAGGCGCGGATCACCCTCTTAGTTGAATTGGACATTAATTTTTAACAATTCAATTAAGCCGAGTCGCATAAATATCACAAAGCCACTTTGAAAGTGGCCACAAATTATTACAGGGGGGGGGGACAAAAGAAAACAAGAATATTAGTTTACCTACCAAATCAGTGTTCACGTGGATGGGGTGAGGGGGCAATGTGGGCTAGCTGGCGTTAAAACCGCACATCTCAACGGATCCGAAATTCCCGTCCTGTAGGAGCGTTTTTGTCCCGACGTATAACGTGACAACAAAATTATCACCATCACAGTTTTGCCTTCTCGCATCTTGTTCGATCTGTCAGCATCATCGGGTTACGTTTGGGGTCATCCAAAAGGTCAGGCCAAATCATAAGGTCATCCTATCTGCAGACCAAATCATCAACTTTTGCCATTTCAAGAGCACTTCACGCACCGATTTGATATCTTATGGTCCGTCAAAGGTAGAAATGCCAATTTGAACTCGCCTGAATTTTGTGCACACTAAGTCAGTTCATTACAGGAAATTCAAATATAGCCCTTCGGAACGGCAATACAAATATGATCCTCGAACGGGAATTACACGTACGTGACACCAGCAATGACGAAAAGGCGAGTTGGTTGCAGATTTACAAAAAAAGAAAGAAGTACATCATGGTTTCGACTGTGCGTAGGAGAAATATCGCAGCGATGTGGTCTCTCAACAAGTGGTTGATGCATAGGTAGTCATTTCAGGCCAGTATTGGGCGTAGGATATCACTACGCGTATCACACATTCAGTGGATGCCGCCAACATTACGAGCATAGCAGTTCTTACTAATAGATCCACGCTTATATTACTCCCTGTGAGATGTATCCCGACGTGCGAATATCGACTCATCACACAACGTCATTAGGAATGTTCATGTTGAAATTCGTTTATTTTGGTGGCCGCCTCGAGATCTCGCTTTCAGATGACGCACGCGCACAAGATAAAGTTTTCGAACAGAGACGTGGTCATCAACACTGTGCAATTACCCGGCGGCAGCTGATTAACTTCTTGACCGACAAAAAAAAGACACGACGTCTCTCCGTCCGTGAAACCAAGTGGGAACACGGCTTATACTCTTCCGCGACAAAATTTGACGTGGGGATGTTGATGAATAATTAGGCGTCTTCTCGAAACCATGGCAACGGGCAAATTATCATTGTCTGGTATCCATATATAGCTGGTACACACTAGCAACAGTGTCATTAATTTTGGGTTCAGTGGATCTCAAACTATACGGCCATTTCCATGGGCGTCGCCAGGATTTTTTCCGGGAGGGGGCAAAGCATTTTTTTCCCTTAACTTAAAATTCCTTAACTTTTTCGTTATATTCTCAATTTATCATTTTACCGAGCGTGAGCAGGGGAGCATTTGCCTCCCCCCCCCCCCCATCAAATTAACACCAATATGGCTTCGCACCTCTTTTTCCTCCCCCCCCCCTTTTTCGTTTTCCGGGGGGGGGGGGGCTGCCCCCCTCCCCCCCCCCCCCCCCCCCCCCCCTCGCGACGCCCATAGCCATTTCATGTTTAAAGACAAAAACATTCAGTAAACCGGAGCACGAACAATCAGTAAAATAAATACGCACAGCAGTCGTTGTAAAAAGGGTGAAAATTATAAAGCATCTTCGCAACGCAACAAGTGATCGTCATAAGATTCAGTGGAACGGAAGATGAAATTTAAGTAGCATACTCATTCCGCTCCGAGCTACAGCAGCAATGATTGCAATCGGAAAAGCAAAACTTTAGTTTAATGTAAACATCAAGTGAAGTTATCAAGAAAATCAAGAATATGGAGTAACAGATGGCGCGAATCAAGTAGCCCAATTTTCAACCGGGGTTTGGAAATTAACAAAATGGGGGAAATTTTTTCCATCGCCCCTGGCAAATTACTGCTGTCAAATTGCCGAGCTTTTCAAATCATATTTCTTTAAAGTTTAAAAGGTCGACCATTTTTTTTATTTTTCTCTTTCATTTTTTAAAAAGTACATGCGAAGAGTTTACAATATGAACTGTTTTGAAAAGCAAGGGGAAGTAGTATACACGCGCGCATGTTTACTTAAGCTAGCTCGGCAAACATAATCTATGGAATAGCTCCTTGCACAGCAGCAAGGGTCTATGATATGCCAGCAGATTCGGCGATCAGTTTTGCAAAACAAGACTGCGTCTTGATCTCCTGATTCTGACCATTCAGCGGATGCCTTCTATCAGGTCTTCCGTAACCCGCTGTATTACAACAAACAGGGTAGACAAACTAACAAATCAACGGCTTAGGCCACATTGAAATGACGTCACAATTTCTAAAGGTGACTCCGATTGGCTGGCAAGCGGATCGCATGCAGTTTGCATGCTATAATATCAGCCGTTCGTCGTGTGGCCTAGCCATAGAGCTAGTCCAAGCTCTATGCTCTAGCATACGTGAATGCCTGATACTCAGACTATGCATCCCCGGCTAAAGGCAATGGACAATTTTCAAATTAGCATTGAAATCGAGGCCCTCAGTGCTTAGCCATTGTATGAATTGAGAACTTTTTAAAATCCTATCAAGAGCAATGGGGCCCTCGGTTCAAATGGTAAGCGGCTACGAATTAAATTTGCTTGATAGATCAACATTTTGCTTGGTTATTTGACCTGGAAGGCCTACACTTTGGGCAACGTGCTTTTGGCATCAAAATGTAAAGATGCATATATAATAAGGGAATAAAATGTGTGCTACATTAAAGCACCATTTTGAGCGTGATAATTTCACCAGACTTTAAACATAACACATTTTAATGTTTTGGTTTGAGATGTACATTGCCAACAGTGTACCAACGCAACAAAAATGGTGATTTAATAGGCGATATTAGCCCAACTTCCGAGTGTCCTCGAGACATTAAATCGAGGGCTATTATTACCACGGGTAATGAGAGATCTAGACAATCAATTATGTAGCCCTTGGGCCTTAATGGCTAATGCGGTATCCGATATCACGCACACAAGTTGTATTATTTATCGAGTACTAATGGCCTTTTCTGATCACAATGATTCTGGCATTCAGTTCAATGGAACTGATGGCAGTGAAGAACCACTAGTCCATGGGCGTAACCAGCTATGGCCCGCAAGAGGGGTATAGCAGTGGCGTAACTGTAGGGTTAAACTGTAGCTGAAGGGGGGGCGCCTGAGGTGCACCAAAATGTTTTAAGGGCCACCTGAATGCAAGTAATATGCTTGTGTTCAATTCAGGATTTTTAATGGAGGGGGGGGGGGGGCCACAGTGGCCCGGGGCGGACATCCGCTGCGGGGGGGGGGGGGGGGGGGGGGGGAGGCTGTCAAGAAGGGGGGGGGGGGGGGGTAGCAGGCATATGTTTCCCCCTTGCTTTTTTCCCCTTTTGGGGACCCAAATAAAAAGGTAAACCCCCTCCCCCCCCCCCAAAAAAAAAAGCAAACCCCCCTCCCCCCACCAGCCACTCTGCTGGTGGAATAAAAAAAAACAGTCTATTTGTGACCGCGAGAGATAAAAAAAAAAACAAATCCAGGGGAAAAACACAATCACCTTGCACAAACCCGAAATGCATTCTGGTGTGAAGTTACATGTACACGCTTTGTAATGACAACACTCAATTGAACGCGTGATGTATGCACTCGACAGAATCATCATGGCCGAGGTGTTGTGCATTGTTGTTGGAAGCGGTTGCCATGGAAACAAAAGACGCCACGGTAGCCATGGCAACCCCCGGCAGTTATCCTTTTCACAGTTTCGAGACGGTTACGAGTATATTACGCCGGTCGATATCCATTGCGGCCGCCTTGGCGCTACAGTTTCCAGTGCATTATGGTTGGGGTTTTTTTTTATCTTGCCGACTGACTCGTCCTCGGGTGCCTTTTAGCACGGCTGGGTTGACAGACCGCAGTCAACCTTTTTTTAACGCAAAAGCTTAACCTTTACAAAAGCCATACTATGCCTCATGCCGCCGCACATTAATTGTAAAGGGCTCATCACGTATTTGAAGTTTGTTCCATTGAATCATCGAAATTCCCCTTATACGAGTGAGTAAAAAAAAACCACGAAACCCAAATGTCGGGACCATTGCTTTAGTGAAGTTCTGCATGTAGCACTTTCAAAATCTAGGATATGAAAGCCCAGTTCATAAGCCTTCTATTAGTACAAGAATCATTCAAATCACTTATGCACTTTTCAAGTTACGGAGTTTTAAACACAGCCACCGTTTTTAGGCTCTGTCCACGGATCACAAAAAAAAAGTTTCAGTGTTCTTTTAGCAAATCGAAAACGAATCACATAAGGATGTGTGTGAATTTTTTTTCACAGGAACGAACACATTTTTTGTGATCTGTGGACAGAACTTTAAAATGGCGGTTGTGTTTAAAACTCCGTAACTTGGAAAAGTACATAAGTGATTTGAATGATTCTTGTACAAAAAGAAAGCTTTATGAATTGAGCTTTCATATCCTAGATTTTGAAAGTGCTACATGCAGAACTTCACTAAAACAATGGTCCCGACATTTGGGTTTCGTGGGTTTTTTTGGACTCACATTGTACACGGTCCCGTATAACCTTCATTTCCAATCTTTGTCTTACCATCGCCAGGCCGTTGCAGACTTTACTGCTTGTAAAGATTTTGTATTTCTCTGTCAGCAAAGTGGTGGGCATAAATGTAAAGTTTTGCTCTCTTTCTTTAATCCTTTGGTTTTTATTTTAACTGTGACACAGGAATAGATGTTTGTCGTTATTGTTAAAATTAAGCACACACTATCTTGGTCCTTTCATCTATTGATATATTTTTTTACAATACTGATTACCGTACGCGTGTTCGATGTAATACTCAACACCCTCTTGAAATTCCATAAAGACACAATACAAAATATATTAATACCTTCTAGAAAGACAGGCACTTTACAGTGAATAAATACACCTACACTAACTCTCTAGGATACTATTGCATGACATTCAATAACATTCATGGTATTCTGGACATCAAAATACCTCTATGTGTACTTGATCCCACTGACTATTCAAGGGAGGTACCAGTGGGGTGTCAAGGGGCGTGCCGTGCCCCTCCCCTCCCCCTTATATTTGACAAAACTAAGTTGTTTTGTTGAAGGAAGCTTTGTACATGTACTTACACATAATAAGTCTCGGTCAAAGACTTAATTTGAATTTAATTCCCCTTTACAGCCGTGACAAGCTCAACAAAATGATTAATATCCATTTTTGGCAATTATTGGCAGCGCTACCCAGGATATTGCGAGCATACCTCACTCGCGCTGTATTCAAGCTAATGCATGCGCGTGAGGTACCTTCGGAATTTTCTGGGTAGCGCTGCCAATATTGCCCAGAGTGGATTTGAATCATCTCGTTGTCAGAGACCAGTCCTCCACTACCGGGGATGGCAATTGTACCATATTTGTTAAGGCACTGGCTGCAAAAAAGTGAAATAAAAATTCCAATTTAGTCTTGTACCGAGACTAACACATAATGTGCAATATGAACAATACCCACTTGTAAACCAGGCCTATTTTAACATCGTAAATGATAAAAGATGAATCACTAGAAGTTGTAATAACTACCGGGAATGGGTGAATAGGCAGACTTTCCCATAGACTTGTGCACAAAATTTTTCAAACTTGAATGTGCCCGAACCCCTTTTTTTCCTTGTCCTTTTTCCACGCATTTCGGTACTTTTACTCATTAGACCACGAGCAACAAATATAACCCAATTGCGACACCAATTGCGACAGCAAAATTTTGCCTCTAAAGGGGTGCTGTGCCATTAGGGAGACAGTTATGTGTCTCCCTAAAGCTGGTGTCTCCCTAGTATCGAAAAAAATCACAATAAGGTGTCTCCCTAAGGCCAAAAAAAAAAAGTCTCCGGTTTCTGGTATGGAGCTTGCCCCAAAAGTGGTGCGGCGACGCGGCTTTTTTTTTTTTTTTTTACCTTTTTTTTTTTTTTTTTTGCTTCAAATGTCGGCTGATGACTGCAAATGGTGCCCGACTAAACTTAGTGCAAATATATGGGAGTCCAGAGAGGCCACATAAATCTTATTCTCGATCATAACCCCTTCTAAAAACACGTTAAAATTGTGCAGCAGCAGGATTCCAGTCAAACCAGTGAGTTTGGCGGTTTTGAAACATCATCTTGTATTGAAAAAAAAACTTTTTCATTTTGCCGACGCGCATGGCTACGGCGACGCGCGCGCATACCAGAAACCAGAGACTTTTTTTTTTTGGCCTAATGGTACATTTAGTAATATAATTCCCTTTCCAAAAATTACCCCTGAGTATCCGTTCCTGTAAGTAAAAATAATAATAACTAGAAATTGTGGTTGTGAACAACCACAGAGCTGTTCCCAATATTGATTATCTGTTGGACCCATAGACATTTGAGTAGAAATCTGTGTCTGTTTGCAACAGAAGATAGGGCTTTTCCGCATTATGATTTGTTTTTATCAATAATACGTCCCTGAGTATGCATGAACATAAAATCTGTCAAAGTTAGCCAGAAATCGGCTAAAACGGTCACTGTGGACAGGATTTGACCTAAGCAACACGTGCACTGTGCGCGGGCTGACTGACATACGATATGTACAACGTACGTGCATGTACATATACATGTACTGTACATTGTGGACGTCCTGTGCCTTTAAAGCAGAGGTATTGTCAACCTGAAGTTTTAAGCGTGCGCAGGGCATGTCTGAGTTTGCTTATTGCCTCAAAGCTTTCAAATGTTTTAGACCTACCCTTCAATAGACAATTAAAGTAAAAACTAATATATAAACGGCAATGGTTGATTTTTCAGGAATTTTCTAAGGAAAAAAGGTCTTTTCATTATAACTTCCGGTCTGATGACATCATACACCTTAAACTTCGCACACGTCTTAAGTGGGTCAAGGTCATCATATACACTAATATTTAGGTGATTCCGACAAACTTCGCCACAGACATCTATTCAAAATACATTTTTAAAAATTTGCAACCTGTCGCTAGAGGGCGCTCGAAGATTGCATGACGTCATCGGTAGATGATTTGAACAATTCTATCAGCCAAGAGACTAACACCGTTGAAAGCAAGTTCATATCTATTACCACTTTCAAATAATAAGCCACTTCCGGTTTGGGCCTTTTTCGACCGGAAGCAAGGGTCACGTGATTTCACGCACACTGAATGAAATAAAGACCTGAACCTCCTCTACCACTTGCCGGCAACAGAATGCTGCGGACGCGTACGGTTCATTTCTTATGCATTTTTAAATATTAAAAGTGTCACTATTCAATTGCCTATAAATAAACACCGGATGACGTCATCATGACGTCATCATTACACAATGTTGTTTGAACTAGGGTCTTTGCTTGGACAAAGATTGGTGTAAATGAATTACTGGCAAAGAGTTGAAAATGCCCTCTGAAAATCGACATTTTAAAAAAAAATTCTGTGTACAAACTCTATGGGAAAAATTAAATATTCAAAATTCTATAATAAATCACGTGATGACGTCAGCATGACGAAAAGTTTCGGCACACATCTTCAGATGATGCTTAATAACTATGCTGAGTTTAAAGTTGATCAGATTTAAAATAATTGCCAAAGTGGCTTGTAGAATAAAAACGTGTACAAAACCTATGGGAAAAGTGGAAAAAGAAAAAAAAAAAAAAAAAAAAAAAAAAAAAAGGAAAAAAAAAAACTTTAACGAAAACAAGAGCTGTTCCCAATTGAAATTGGGAACAGCTAATAAGAAGAAGAAGAATTACCGGGAATGGGTCATTTGGGAGACATTCCCATAGACTTGTGCACAAAACTTTTCAAACTTAAATGTAACCTAACCCAATATTCCCTTGTCCTTTTTCCACGAATTTCGGTATTTTTACTAATTAGACCACGAGCAACAAATATCACCTGATTGCGACATTAAAGTTTTGCCTCTAAAGGGGGGCTGGGAGACATGAAAATGTCTCCCTAATGACCAGTGTCTCCCTATTGTCGAAGAAATTACGATAACGTGTCTCCCTAACGGTACATTTGTGAGAATAACTATAGCGGGCTTTGAACCCTCATTCGTGAATACAATGCAAGAGAAAACAGACTTCCCCCAATATTGCATATTTTATAGCATCCCTGAAACTATGCCCAGTATAAACACTGAGGCATAACTAAGGCACAAATAATCCACTACACGTTGGTCTAGCATTCGTAACAGTCACAAACGTAGCACACGCATAGAAACAAGTCATTCACTCCTGAAATTGATCTCAAATTTGAAGGATGGAGATCTTCACACACATGGGTGGCATGGGTGGCTAGTGCGTAATGCGCTCAATTCTGGGTGCGTTTCCCGGCTCGGATCATGCGAGTAGAGTTGTTCGTTGATTCTCTCCTGCGTGCCGGAGGGTTTTTCTCTGTGCTCTCCGGCAAAGTTCAACACTGGCTGTGCTCTGTGGTCAAACATGGGTCATATGGCAACAGCCAAAGCGGCGCCTTTACATGCTTTTGAATCGACCACCTTCTTGTCGTGTCCCTTGCAATTCAGCTTCTCAGCTGCGAGTAAGGATGTTTAACCCCCCAAAATATGAAATATTATTATTATAGATTACATCACTCAATTGATAACGATTGTTGTAAAGATTCAGAATGGTATAGGCTCGCCGTCCCACGCCAGAAACTTTCCAGTGTCCTCCATGGTCAGCCCGTCCACGAGCTTCAGGATGCATTCCACCGAGTACTCGGCCGTGAAGATCTTGTCCTTGGGCACGCTCTTGTGGTAAGGGCGGGACAGGTCCGTGTTGACCGTGCCCGGATGGACGCTCACGCAGATGACCGGAGAGCGCCCTCTGGCCAGCTCGATGCTCAGGTTCTTGGTGGCCATGTTCAGGGCTGCTTTGGACATGCGGTAGCTGTACCAGCCACCAAGACCTGCACGAGAAGAAAAATTACGCAGATTACTGTATGATTGGAAGCTCTGCAGGGTGGATTGAATATCAGTAATGAAAACATCATCATACTAGTCAGGTTGACATAGCGGTACTTTCCTCGCCTTCCACCGCTGTGACCCAGGTTCGAATCCTGCCTGGGCCAATATGTGGATTGGGTTTTCAGTCCCTACCTGATTCTGTGGGTTATACCCAGAATGTTCTGCTGGAGTTTGCCTCCCACCTCTAAAACTGTAATTTCTTCTCAGTATTTCCTCTCTACAGGTTTCTTCAGGCTTGCGAGCTTATGTACCTGGGGCAATTTTGAGGAATCCTTGGTTTCATTACCAGAAAAAAAAAAAAATAATAATAATAAATAATAATGTTTCATCATCAGAGGGCGCTCTTCGACCATGCACTGCCTGATGAGACAATCAATTCCCATCTCCAGTTGATTTGTTGATTTTCTTTATCTCACAGCTAGTTTTCTTTCTGTAATATGATATATCCCGTTAAAGAAGGCACATCTGCTTATCATAAACACTGCAAAAAAAAAAAAGTCCACACTCATTGGAGGGGTCATAATTTTGAATCTGATCGTCTTACAATGAGGTCATTCATATAGACCTTTGGGGAATGTTGTTAGCTACATTTTGATACCCCGTTTGCTACCAAAGACTGTAAATCATCCAACATTGACAACGGTTTATGAAAAATGATGCTGTTTGAAAAGTTGCAAATTTAAAGAGTACGCAAGTGGAAATTGCTGCGTGGGAATGTCACACTGCCCGAAACGAATGGCAGGGAATACCGATTGCACAGTGCTTGCATGCATGGGAGCACGCGAATTGAATTATACCCACGACCCGCGCTTTGTTCGGGCACTGTGCGGTCGATAGGGGCCAACTACAGGCATGGGTGGTTATGCTTAGCAATTTCTCCTCACATAATCTTATAATGTTCAACTTTTCAAACTGCATCAATTTTCATAAACTATTGTCAATCTTGGACGATCTACAGTATTTGGTCGCAAATGGGGTATCAAAATGTAGCTTACAAAATTCCCCAAAGGTCTACATAAATGACATCATCATGATCAGATTCAAAATTATGACCCCTCCAATGAGTGTGGACTTTATTTTTTTGCGGTGTTTATTTCACAAATCAAGTGAGTGGAGGATGACTGAGAGATTTTAGTGTAAACCAAACTTGTCTTTACCTTTGTTGTCTAAAATGGAGCCAACCCTCGCCGAAATGTTGACAATGACCCCAGCATGGGGTTTACTTTGTGCTTTTGACCCGTACTCCCCAGAGCCTTTCGACAGCAAAGGGGCAAAATGCTTGGCCATCAGAAGAGGCCCGACTGCGTTGGTGGTCAAGGTGGTGGACAAACCCTGCAAAAATAAAGCCAGAGGAGAAGACATCTACTTACCATCTACAAACCAGGGGCCAATTTCACGGCGCTGCTAAGCACAAACATTTGCTAAGCACCAAAAAGTCTGGTAAAAGTCTGGCTTATAAAAGCAGGTTACCAGCCCAAACTTCACTTGATGTATATTGCTCGTGATTAGTATTCAGCTGTTGTTTGCTTAGCATGAAAATCACATGGAGTTTTGGCTGATAACCTGCTTTTATAAGCAAGATGTTTTTTGTGCTAAGCAAATTTTTGTGCTTAGCAGCGCAGTGAAATTGGGCCCAGAGCTGTTCCCATACCGCATATTCGATCACTAACCGAATATTCAAATACTAGCGGTTTGCCCAAAAAATTAAAAAGTACACACATTGAGTGAATCGAGTTGAATGAATCGCGTTGAGTGAAGGCATTCTAAGTTGGATCCAGGGGCTTGCCTTGGGAAAAAAATTGAAATCTATGATGCTTTCTCCTGCATTCTAAGGCAATTTGAGAATTATTTTTGGCCCCATTAAGTAGTATTATACAGCAGCTGAACAGGGGGTGGGGGGGGGGGGTGGGGGTGGGGGGGGGTTGACCTTCCCCAACCCCTACCCCTCTAGATCCGCCACTGACATATACACACGTACCTCAATTGAAACATCCCTGAGACTGGTTTCGCCTCTCCCGGAAGGGTGCAGCACCCCTGCGCAGTTTATGAGCAGATCCAATTTGCTGACCCCGCTCTCTTTGACCTTTTCCGCGACCCCCTGGATGTCCCTGGGCAGGGCAAGGTCAATCTTCTCCACATCCAGACGGTTCCTGTTCTCATTCTGTACAACCGTGCACAAGTAAATACAGGTAAAGAGAGACAAAAAAAGAAAAGATGTAGGGCCTATCATGAAGTCTAGTCTGTTACTAGTCCAAAAATTTGGGACTCTCAATACTGTGTATGAGAGTCCCAAAACTTAAGGTACACTTTGTCCTTCAATATTCTTGGTTTGTCTTTCATTGTTTTTATTGTTGTTTGTCCTTTTAGTTTTAGCTTTGTTTAATGTAGTATAAACATGCAATACAAGCAAATAGACTGGCACATGAAACAACCAGTCCAACACCCCTTTAGTACTGAATCAATCAACTGTGTCAAAAGAAACATCTGGTACCTAGTCTCTATTTCTACACATTCTCTCCATAGTCTGCCACCAGACCACTGAATGGTCATTTTTTCCTCAAAAAGTTGGATATGTACAAGTCTAGTCTTAGGCTTTAAATTGAAATCACTTTCCATCACTCTTACATTGTCGGTGCAATACTGTTGAAGAAAGGTCTGTCTCCTTTAAAAATTGAATCGAGACAGTCTCAAACTTGGCTGGTGAAATACTGAGAACCTTGTCTTTGTCTCATGCAAATTTCGGAAATTGTGTCGGCTAAAGGGCGAGTAAAGTTGGCCAGATTTTGTTTTCCATCTTTTTTTCTGCACTTGAGGCCCCAGATCCCAGTCTGGTCTGTTACATATCCACACACAGTTTCATCAGGAGTCAATCAGAAGGGTGAAGTCCAAAGTTAAGTAACAAGCTTTTTGGGTGAACCTAGGCATGCCTTTGTTATTGTTCATCCCCTGCTACGTGCGACTGGCCATGGACTCGTGTATTGATTTGTAATTTAGTACAAGTGATTAGAGTTGTCATTACAAGTGAGTCATCCTGTCTCAAGTCAAGTCATTTCTATTTAAAGCTATAGTCCATCATTTGCAGCCATCCGAAAAGTAACTGGCATAATTATTGCTGAAAAACAAACTTGGTTGAAAGATAGTAAGGGAACTAAACTCCCTGTGAAATTATTCTTTCTGGGAAGCTGTCATTTTGAAGTAATCAACGAAAGAAGGCATTTCCAACGGTGATTCTTAAGAAGCACCGTAGGAAAATTTAAATTAGTAGTTCGTTTTGTTATTCAGCGCAGCGCGCACAAGTATTGGAACGACGCACACGCGTGCGTGGTTGTTGTAATTCGTCGGATCAGTGCGCGACGTCGCGTATAGCTGCAATTCAAAACGATTCAAAACATGATTCAGTAACTTTTGATTTGAAATTGAGATCTTAGAATGCTGTTTTTCTCGGAATGTACAGCTGAAGCTTAGCTGAAACTTCATCAGGTTAGTTGCTCAGTATCCTTCATTAGATTTTGAACTCTTTTGTTGCTTCAAACGAACAACATGCACAAATTACAAATGATGGACTATAGCTTTAAATGAACTGTGACAAATGTAGTCCTTTGTTGCAGTTCATATCTTTTGTTACCTTTTGATTGACTAGACGAACTTGTGAACTGGATTACAACACTGATAAATACAATGTACATTCAATTAAGAAAACTGGGAAGCATAGGTACTAAGATCATGAAGTAGTACCTGCAGTGCTAGGAGTTCCTTTGCATTCTCTGGATTGCGACAGGTGGCAATGACATGGGCTGTTGGGCTCCGTCGGAGAAGGCTTCGGCAGAACTGCAGACCTAACCCCCTACTTGCACCCTGGACTAGGGCAACTGGTGATGCCATTGCATGCAATACTTGACGGATAGTGCTGAAGACTTTTTCTGGGCTCCTTATCAATTTCGCTCATCAATGGGTGCATCATATGTCCTATGTACAGTTACAGAATATTCATTAACTTTCCACTGCAGCACTTGTTTTAAAATATCACATCAGCTCAGGTATGTACTCTCAACGATGCGCCTGTTTGTATCAATAATCTAAGAACCTTTTACAAGCGTTACCATTCCAGGGCATTATTTACAATAATACAACTTTGTTAGTGAAAAACATGCACACTTTCAGTTGCTTTACAAACAGTCAAAATTCATATTTCTTATGAGAGATGAATCTTCATTGCCAAAGTCATCTTAATTTAATGTCTGATTGCTCTAGATGACTTTACTTTCCTTTCTCCTGCCAATGTTTATTTAAATGTTCAGGTTTAAACTGTTGAGGTAACCCTCCCGGGTTTACGGGGTGTTCCAAGTTGGAATAAAACAACAAACTAGAGGCCTAGGCTAGGCCTACCCACCATTGTCCGCCGCGCCGCGGGTTACGTGAAGGGCCTATAGTCGTGTTCCCTAACGTGGCGCACTTCGAAGCTTACCCAAATTTCCTCGTGTAGTGTTGCCAAACCTCTTTGTTGATAAACCTCAAATTCATGCAGTGAAATACTGGTACTTTTACCTTATTAATGCTTGCTGTTTAACCTCTGTGAACAATTTCGGTTTCATAAAATTTAAGCCGAAATTAAAAAACGGTGGCGTCCGGAAATTGGGCACACTTTGGCGGAGTGTTTCCTAACGTGGCGCACTTAAATAAATCTCGGAAAATTCCAAATTAACATTTAAGAATTTCTGAAAACTTGATAAATTCTGATAAATCATTATTATCTCTACTTACATACCCAGCCAGATGTTTGTCACAAAATTACTTTTCTTATTTTTCGGGGCATTTTCAAAGGGTTCACTTTGCACTTGAAAATAAAATCGGAAAATCACGCCAAAATAATTTTTTCTTTTAACTTTGTAGCAGGTAAATAAACTAGCGATTTATGAACGGGAGTGTTTATAACTTGATGAAATTTCACTTTCTGTGAAATTTCAGTTAAAACTGTTGCTCTAACTAGGCGCTACAGGCGAAAAATCAAAGTGCGCCACGTTAGGGGCCACGGGTCAACGTTAGGGTACATCAACAAAATAACGCGTGTCACGTCGATCGTTAACGATCGACGCAGTTTTTTGGTATGCGCCCACACAGCTGAACATTTGCCAGTGCCCTTTTCACGACTGTTGTATATATATAAATATTTCAGATCAGTTTGAATTCACAAAGTGTGCAAACATATGATTCAAAACACTTACGACATGCATTTTCTATCACTCTTGTACAGCACACTCAAGTTTCCATGGGCGCAGCCATCTTGTTTCATAACGATCTGTTGTGTACTACGCATGCGCCGATGTGTATGACCTCCAAAATTGACCAATCAGATGGTTTCTTTTCGTGTTATCACACTATGTGCGGTTCTTCAAAATGACGGCCGATCGGGCAGTGAGGTTTTTGAGGAAGACGGAAACAGCCCCTTATTATTGCAAATCTGCACCTACAATTATGTGACTCGACTGTTATGTGAGTGAGTATAAAGTTTGTTCGATGGTAAAATATAAATGTGTGATAGGCCTAGACGAAATAAACTCCACAGCGGACTGACTTGACGTGACCGACCGAGACAGCTCACCGTCATTGACCGTCATGACCGTGTACATGCTGTACGTCGTTATCGCTCGATCGTTTGCCAACTCGTCCGTTTTGCCAACTCGACCGTCATGACCGTTGCGTTGTGCGTTCGACTGGAAAGTCAAGTCGTCCGTTGTTATGTACATGTACAAGCATGGAGGAAGCAATTCCTTCCTCCATGGGCCAAAGGACGTGGCTTGTCTTTGTTAAAGGGGGGAAAAGGTAATCACGCGGGGCGCCGGGTGCACGCAACCCGGTCAGAGTCTCAGTCAGACGGTCGAGTTGACTCCACGTTTTGGAGCAACTATAGAATGCAGGGCCACGCCGGATAGCAAGTTTTTTTTTGTGCTTGGAGGCGTGGATCGAGGCCGGCGATGTGAGGATAGGAGTAATATAATAATATGCAAACCTGCAAAAAGTGCTAAGTACAGCGAATGCACTTGTCTTCTCATCAATGATCGGAAGGGAGGGCGCGCTTGTAAATGTGCCGGGGCACGGAGACGCAGAGAGGCGGGGCACTGGAGTTGCGGAGTCGCAGAGCGCGCTGATAGAGGGCGCAATTTTCGGAGGTATTTTTTTGAGAACGAAGCATCCATATCCATTTTTAATTTCCTCGCAAAGGAAGGGAGGAAGGCGACGAGGCACTGGAGTCGCGGAGACGCGGGGCACCGGAGTCGCAGAGACGCGGGGCACTGGAGTTGCAGAGGAGCGGAGTAGCAGAGATGCGCGCCGATAGAGGGCGCAATTCTCGGCGGTATTTTTTTTAAGAACGAAGCATCCATATCCATTTTTAATTTCCTCGCAAAGGAAGGGAGGGCGACGGGGCACTGGAGGCGCGGAGTCGCAGAGACGCGCGCCGATATAGAGGGCGCAATTCTCGGAGGTAGGTCGACTGCGGCTCCACGCCTCCACGCAGCTGTACAGAGGCGCGGATGTAGAGTGTAGTGGCCCTGCATTCTATAGTTGTACCGCCAAATAAATTAAAAATAAAAGTGCATTTTGTTCTCTTATAAAGTTATAAGGGACCGGGCCCGTAACTACACAATCGACAGTCAAAATCAAATTGATAATGTCAATTTTAGGACCAAAGTGAAAGACTAGACTGGTACATGTCCAACCATGGTCCAATTGTTTGAAAAGACTGACCTCTTCATATGTTAGTCAGGTGGCTGACTATGGAGAAATGTGTAGAAATAGAGACCACTAGTACCAGACATGCCAGATGTTTCTCTTATAGCACTGTTGATTGATGCAATACTGGAGTGAAGCGGTGTTGGACTGATTGTTTCATGCGCCAGTCTATGTTCTTGTGTTGCCTGTTTTCAGTACCTTAAAATTTTGTACTCTAGTTTTGAGAGTCCAAAATGTTCAGACTAGCACAATGGAAGAGACCGACGGGAGTTGGCAAACAGTTGAGTTGGTTTGAGTCGCGTTGGCAAACGGTCGAGTTGACTGGATACCAAGTATATAGTCGGACTCAAGATTGTGCTTAATAACGATCCACAAAACTCTTTTAACACGTTGACTGCCGACTACGAGTATACTCGTAGTCACAGGTGTACCGGATTCTGCCACTACGAGTATACTCGTAGAAAACGAAAGGTTTTTGTATTGTAAATTGAACTGGCATCACTGATAACGCAACAAAAACGCGGCTGGCAATGCTGAGGACATACAGATCTATAAAATGTTTATGTCAACATTGTTTGTTTTCGTGTTTTTTCTGGTAGAAATAAAATCAGAAATTGGCAACATTTGAAATGTCGTGTGCCACCTTGTGTACTTTATTTTCAATCAAGAGTGAAAAAGAAATTCTTATACATCCAATATATCTTTGCATTTAGACTTGTGGCTTTTCACAAAGGTTTGATCACATTGGTCTATCCCCCTGGGGGTGGGGGGCAGGAGGTCAACTTGCCTTGCCTCTGAGGACATTTTGCCCTTTTTCAGAAAATGATAGTGAAAAGTGAAGGCCCCCCCCCCCAAAAAAAAACACCATAAGAAAACCAATGAGAACAACTTATCCATTCGCCCCCGCCCAAAATCAGTTTGATTAATTTCTTATATTTCTTGACAGTTCTGATTGTATGATGCCACTTGAAACATCCGAGTCCGAAGAAATCGCTGGATCGCTTCTTCCATCAGACAAAGAATCACTACTTCCACCAGTTTGTGATTCATCCGAATCACTGTCATTCGTGGGCATTTCTGAAGTTTCATTTCCGTCATATTCGTCAACAGAATCCATATCATCATCATCGCTAGCGCTGTCAGAATTCATCATGAGATATGCCACTCTGTCCGCACTGAGCTGCACCATTTTGTAATAATGAATGTGGCAAGGATGGCTCAGTTCATGTAACATGCAATCCAATGGCAACCACAGTGAAAACTTTTGCAGAATGCCATATATATTGCATAACTGTCAAGGAGAAGCAAAGAAGTTTGTTACCCCATTGCCAACCTACGAGTTATCTCGTAGTGACGCGGCACGAGATAACTCGTAGCTGGCAAACCGGAATAATCAATTCTATGCCTTTGCCAGCCTACAAGTTATCTTGTAGATATTTTTTCCACATAGGGTAACTAGAAATGAATGCACTACAACATATAGTCACCGAAAAAGGGCCTATTAAGTATGCGCGCAGTCAACGTGTTAAAGGGAAGTTGAATGCATACAAAATGGATCTTAACTTGGTGAACATATTGAAAAGAATGTAGCATCCAGACGCCACTTCAGCGGTTGTGTACAAAGTCTATGGAGAGTAGAGTGCATTTTCAAAGTATTTCCTAAGAAAATTGGAAATCTTTCTCAGTCCCACTCACAGGTTCATTTCTTTTCAACATTTTTGCAATGACTGACCTTTATTATGTTCATGGATATACTGTATGATGAAAAAAAGTGGTTTCAGGATGCAACATTCTTTCCAAAATATTTTCAAGACCAATTTATTTGTATTAAAGTGTTTTTTTTTAATGCTTTCTTTTATTTATCCCAGTCCTCTGATATTAGATAAGAAACAACAGCAAGTGTTCCTGTTGTTCAAGTACATACATGTAGGTGTACATACATAGATCAGATCAAGATGACCCACATTTATTAGCCTGCAAGATTTGATTGACCTAGTCCTAGTCTGCACACTCTGCCCTCTATGATGGCCTTCAACTCTCGTGGGCAGGTCGTCAGGACCTACGGCCGACACAAGCAGCGCACCATCGCAGCTTGGATCTCCCCTGAAGCCAGCACCAAAGCCCAGCACATCTTCAGCTCTCCAGAAGACGTCAGTCTGGCCTCAGCCACGGGCAGGGGTTTGGGCAGTCACTCCCTGACCAACAGGTTTGTGATTTTGTGCCGTTGGGTACCAGTGTTGAGACATACTAATCACGCCAGTCACAAGTCACCACGAGAAGTCGTTCTCAAGTCATACAGTCTCAAATAAACAACCTTTAAGGCCCACCCCAAAAAGTTGGTCTCTGGTCAGACCAGAGTTCCGGAATTGATGCGGCGACGCGAATTTTTTTTTTTTTTTCAAGCTTGGATTGTACAGACAAGGTGGGTACTATTTTGCTTTTGTTGTGTCCTCATATACATTGGTGTCCTCCATCATTTGCCTTGGTGCCCTCCATCACTTGCCTTTGTGCAATTTCCCCATTCCTTGGTGCTCCTTCGTACAAAAATTTGAGGTGGTGTGGCAATAGAGATTGTTGTTGTAGCTACCGCGGAAAATTTGAAGAAGAAAAAAAGATTGACGCACATGATTAAAATCGACGCGCGCGCTGACCAGAGACCGACTATTTTTACAAAAAATTTGGGCCTAACACAGGCATTTCTTTGTCATTGTTAAACACCTGTTACATTGTACTGACTTGTGATTTGATTTATGACTGACTTTGGTATTTCCATAAATAACTTAGGGTGCCAATGCATATACTTTCTACATAAAGTATTGTCTGCATTCTTTGCAGTTTCAGTATGTGGTGGTTTGTCCGTGTCACGCAAAACCTGAATCTTGAAAATCAAACTTGTATTTTTCATACATGATGAGTCGTTTTAGTTAATCAAAAACCACTGAAACTTAACACTTTTTGTCAGAAGGCGTAAAAGTACATGTGCAAAACTTAAGCGGGAAACAAAATTTAAATTACGCACAAAATCTTTTACAAGGAAGTGGAACGAAAACAAACAGACATTATGTTCATCTAATCTTGCTTTACACACATGTAATAACTTTCATTGCATTCATACTGTAAGTTTTTAAAATAAATAAAAAAGATGTATTTTTTTTTCGGTATTAACATTTTCGAAGGCTGAAATATTAGAAGTCACTGAAGCGAAACAAATTACGCAAAACGTAAAAAAAACAGTTTCAGTCAGTTTTTCATGACCTACATGTATACTTTCTCATGACAGAAATTGATAGCGTTAGTACATGTACATATGTTTGTGTGTGTATTGGTAGAATACTTTCATATCACTATTAATCACATTTTTAGGAAAACTGGATTATTACGTAATCCTAATTTTTGGTACCGAAATGTATCAAAAATAAAATTCCGACTTCAAATCTTGAAAATATAGACCTTCAGCTTTCATTTGACACCAAATTTGTTAAAGTCACATGCATTTGAATTTTTTGAATTTGCACGCAAATGCTATGACGTCCACTTTGGTGTGGAGTTGCCCACTAGCGGCCATTTTGAAAAATGGCCCAGTCAGTCGGCCATTTTGGAGGGGGGGGGGGAAGGACCTCCCGCTTCCTTTTTTTTTCAAAAAGGCAGGACGCTAAACATGTTTTTATTTTATTTGGCCTTATAACTTGCATTAATTAATATATTTACCAATTCATTTAAAATTAAACCAATTATTAAATACATGTACAGTCGACTCTCATTATAAAGAGCACTTTTATAAAGAGGTTCTGCTTATAAAGAGCACATTCTGAGGTTCCAAATCTCAGGTTCTCTTTTGTGTTTCTTTGTTTCGCTGTCCTTTTATAACAACATTCCTTTTATAAAGAGGTAATTTGGCTAGTCCCATCGACCTTGTTATAACGAGATTCGACTGTACCTGTAGTTTGAAATTGTATTACAAACGGGAACGATTTAAATCAATCAAAAAAATACAATTGAAGGCCTAATAGTAGTGCAGCAATGCATCCATTAAAAATCGTGATTACTTTGATTACGTAATCAGTTGCCGCAAATCCTCTTGTACATGTACCTGTAGCTCAACCTCATCCTGTGCAGTTTGTACACTGTCCTCTTTGTCTAGGGAATTCAGTTCCACCTGTCCCTGGTCAAGGCCCACTCTCATCTTATCAGGCATTGCATAGTAAAGCTTTTCCCAAAACAGGGAGTCAGTCCGTTCCAGGTAAGTGTTTGTTGACAGGTACAACTTCAGGTCCTTGTCCAGTAGGTTTTTGTCGACCTCTTCCAAGAGGATGACGATCAAACGATTCTGGCGGTCCTTGAGGAGTTGCTGCTGGGCCGCCTGGAACTCAAAGGAGCACCACTCGCTTGCCACAAAACTGTTAGAAAGCACAATGAGGGTCCTTCTGCTGGTCTCCACAGCGTTGACAATGTTGGTGGAGATGCATTCACCCACGACAAAGTCACGTTGGTGGATGCACAGTTTGAAAGGCGGCTCGTGGCTTTCCAGTTTTGGCACCAGTTCCTGCGTGACAAAGTCCAAGTCATCAGTGCTGAATGATATGAAGGCGTCATAAAGATACGTCCTATCCTTGTCTTTGTCCATCTTGTTGCTGAAGCGCAAACCAGTGTGGTTGTAAACGACCACCTGGATGACTCTGCGGAATCTGTACACTGCGGCAGCAGTGCTCATTAGAAAAACCAGAACCCCTAAACACACTGCAACAGTTTCTGCAAGCGGATCCCAGGCTTGGACATTGACATCAGTGGAGTTACACATGAATTCGTAATCATCCAAGTACACCACTGCGGCTGTTTCGTTGGACTGAGTTGTACAGTTGATGCTCTCAACATTCTCCATATCCTTGGTTTGGAGCCACTCTTTCAGCCACATCAGGTCGCAGTCACAGATCAGGGGGTTGTTATCGAGTCTGAGTTCCCGTAGCGATGGGATGCTATTCAGGACCTCCGATAGTAGACCTGGCATCAGGTTATGGTCAAGATAAAGGAACTGCAGTTTCTCCAGATCACTAAAGCTACCAGGTTCTATGAATGATATGACATTGTGCTGAAGATCAAGAAATGTCAAATTGGTCAAGCCTTTAAAATCTCCTCGAGTTACAGCACCTATATGGTTATGTCCAAGATGTATGGTGGTAAGGCTCGACATCCCCCTAAACATTTCCCCTATCGTAGTGATGTAGTTTCCGCTGAGGTCAATTTCCAGTAGCGCCTTCATGTGTACAAAAGTGCCTGAGGAAACTGCACTCAGACCATTGTCTGCCAAGCTCAAAACGTTTATGTCCTTGGAGAGATTTTGCGGCACTCTAGTGAGATTGGCATTACAAATGGTTATGTTCATGGAATCGTTGCAGCGCGTGTAACACTGACACGATTCGGGACAGTAAAACCCACTGAAGCTAGCAAGCGAGGGGTTAAGCAAAGACATTTGCCGTGGATCGTATAGGGCTTCCCCCCTCAAGATTGGCGGCATTGAGCACATGAGCTCTTGATAGTTCTTGAATCGCAGATTAGCCAGGAGATTTGCACCAGGCCAAAATAAATCTATGTATTCTTGGTCGCTGATAAGACTAAACATATAGCAATCACACCACAGCCAGTTGAGTTGCATATCAACAGTGACTGCTTTCGTGGGATACAAAGTGGGGCTTAAAGCATCTCTGTTGATGAATGGCAGGTGTGGGAAATTGATCAGGTAGTTGTCTGCCAGGTTCAGTTGCTGCAAGGCAGGTATATTATACAGAGCATCATTCGGAACTCTCTGCAAGAAATTTCCGCTGAGATCTAATGTCTTCAGGGACTGAAGATTGTAGAAGGCTTGGGTCTCCAAGGCAGTGAGGTTATTTTTGGACATGTAGATGTGTTGCAAATCATTCAGGTTCCAGAATGTAAGAGCATGAACAGCACTAATTGAATTCCCTTCCAGGCGCACGGTCTCGATTGAGGTAGTCAGGTCAAAAAAATTCAGAGGGATATCCGTGATAGAGTTTTCGGCAATATCCAGTGTCTTCAGTTTGGGTGAGTCCTTGAATGAGATGCTTTCAATGGAGGCGATTTGATTCTTGGACAAATTCACTTCTTCCAACAGTGGCAACCCCTCAAAAAATCCTCTGGGGATGGTGGAAAGCTTACATTCACTGAGGTTGATTTTTCGTAGCGTGCTGTTAACAGGTCGTAAAAGTTCCTGAGGGACAGACCGCAGTGGATTGAAAAGGATATTAATCTCCTGAAGACTGTCTAATCCTTGGAGGGACAGTGGATGAAGAGTGTTTATAACACCGAGGGAAATGTCCAGGAATCGCAGTCGTGCCAGACCTCTGAAACTGCCACTACCGAGAGCGAATATGGCAGCGTTGTTCATAACAAGGGTGTGTAAGTTAAGAAGTACACCACGAAACCCCTGGTTCGGCAGTTCAGATATTTGGTTCAAAGAGACATTGAGGATTTGAAGTTTCCTCAGATATCTAAAGGGCTCAGCGTCGAGTCTGTGCAGCCTGTTTTTAGCCAAATCCAGATACTCGAGGTTGGGCAGGTGGATGAAGGTGTCATCGGGAATATCTGAAATTCGGTTGCTGGAGAGGTCCAGGTGTTGCAAGCACGGCAACCTCACATCCAACCCATCTGTTTGATTGGTGGAAATGTTGAAGTGGCCGGTAACTGCATCGGGAAAGTGTGTCAAGCCAAGGCTTGTCAAAGTCAGGCTCTTTAAGCGCTTCAGACTTAAAAATGCCCTTGGGTAAAGAAGCTCTACCGACCCGTAATAGACTGACAGCTCTGTGAGGTTTGCCAGGGGAGCCATATCCTCCTCTCCGATGTGCATTCTACAGTTGCGCAGAGACAACGATTGCAAGATTCCCGGGGACTGAAGTTGGGTGGTGATCCATCGGACAGCGTTAAAGTGCGGGCAGCCACCTCCATCTAGGATCAGTATTCTGATTGGTGGTAGATGGTCTGGCATTTCAAGCATCCCTGCATCACAGAAACAGTCAAGGCCTTCCAGTAATCGGGTCCTTTCGTTGGTCATATTTATGCAGCTCAATGAATAACCTGTCTTGACCATGATCATCAGTGCACAGATGCTTAGCCAAAAGTAGGATTTGTCCTTGTGATGCATCTTGGACGTGAAATCTGGTCATTCAATTCCTTATCTTCCTTGGACCAGTTTATACTATGGGCTCCGTGCACAAGTACCCCATCAACAGCCAGAAAAGAAGAGTTGGGGGTGACCTAGATTGGTTCCTGGTCCATCCACTGCATATTTCGAATGATCCAAAGTTATTGGGGTCGGGGATTAGTCTGGGAGACCATCGCAAGTTCAATTCAAGCAATTCGAACGTATTCGCGCACCAACGACGCCTGATGTCATGCGCGAAGATGCTGTGGCTTGGCTTTGTTCACATTCAGGAAAAAAACAAATTGTGCGTACTTCGCACGCGAATTACAGTGCGCACACGCGGAGTCCTGTCCAAGAGGCTCTCAGAAGTGGTAAAAGCGCGCCCTCTTTTGTTGGCGCACGGAGCCTATATCGAGTAGTGTCTGTAGTACAGTGCACTTGATTTTCTTGAAGGGCTGGGATGTCTATATTTATGGACTGTAAGCTTTCAGCTCGTTCATGTTATTCTTTGCCTCGTTCAAAGGTACATCCACCATTTCTATTGAGACAGCTTGTAGAACACAGTCCAGTTGATTAAATTCCCATGTACCGGTACCTTGTAACTGAAGCTCAGTAGATTGTGCAGATGATGAGCATTTGAATCTCTGGAAAAAAGGACAGTGTGTGATTGTTATTCCGGGTATCAGTCACAGTTGGAGCATTTCATGCATGAAAGTACATGTACAGTCGACTCTCATTTAAATACAAACTCGGCTAAACCTAGTCAACATGTTTGTTACATGTATATCAGAAATTTGTAGGATTTGAGTTCCGGTCCTTGATTCATTGTGCACATAAAGCACAGTCGGGACCAAGGTTTCATGTTTGAACCAGAATCTGTATGAACAGTGTTTGTATTAACGAGAGTCGACTGCACATGTACATACCATATGTACAGTATGTAAATGATCTCTTCAGTGAGTTGTGTGTTGTTAGCTAGAAAAGAACTAGTGCAAACACTTTCCTGCCAGAACCACACATACAAACATGTATAGTTTACATTTATCACACATGCTGATGTCACCATGCAGTCTTTCGAAACTCAAATAGACACGTTTATTAGGCTGCATGTTATAGGCCTGGTTCATGCATGGAAGTTTTTTCACGTCTACAAGTTCACAGAAATTGAAATGAAATATAGTTTTCCTGTTAAAAATGTTTTCTGCTGGGCTTAAAAGGAAAAAAAACGGACAAAAACTGTTCCTACTTTCAGTATGCACATGTATGCAAATGTGTACTCTGGGGCCAATTTCATATAGCTGCTTAAGCACAAAATTTGCCTAAGCACAAAAACATCTTGCTTAATAAAATCAGGTTACCGGCCAAAACTTTATGCGATTGTTATGCTAAGTAAACAACACCTAAATACCAGTCACAAGCAATGTACATCACATGAGGTTTTGGCCGGTAACCTAATTTTACTAAGCAATGTTTTTTCGTGCTTAAGCAAATTTTCTGCTTAAGCAGCTCTATGAAATTGGGCCCAGGTCACTGGCTAACAAATGTACTATACATTGTGCAGATTGTGCCAAAAGAAAGGTGCAATATTCAGAAGACAAATAATTAAAAATGTTTAATGTCTTTTTTCTTCAATGAAATTATATTACATTAGAGCCTGACTATTTTCTCAATCCACTCCTTTTTACCCCATTCCATTTAGGTCCCAACCGGGGGGGTAGATCCAGAAATACAATCAATTTAGTGAACGGGTGTAAATTTGACTTGGGCCACTCTCATCTGGACATGCTGAATCTGGGTTTTAAGCATTGAATAGGCATCGAACAGGCATTGAAGTTGGTGGCATCACAGGTGAGAGTGGCCCAAGTACCCCGGAAAAAATGTTCCCACACCACAACAAACAAGTACATGTTATACTGATAGAGCAACTTTTTAAAACTTATAAACTTAGCATACATGAACATGTACTGTAATAATGATAATAATAATTGTATGCTTAGTTAGCGCTTTCCATCGTATCAACGATCTCAATACGATTTACAAACAACTTACCTATATGTACAGTGTTTGATCCTTCACATCAAGGTTTTCTAAACTGCTTGTAACAATTCAATGTCATGAGTGAATCTTCAAGTGATACAGGTGTATATACATGGTACACATGTACATGTACAGTGCATGGCTTAACCACTGCTGCAGCTTCAAGATTATAAACTTGGTACGGTACACTACCATGGTAGACATGACCCACATCATGTTCTTTCCAAGAACAGGTGGTGATGGCTGTGATTGGCTTGCCACAGTTTGGCCTTGAGAGGAAGTTTATGTGGGAACTATGCATTGACATCCTGTTCAATCATAAATACAAATGGTCGCTGATCTACCAACTGACCAACATCCTGTTGTGGGGGTAAACTTTCACCCCCAGGTCACCTGTGGCATGCGTGCGCAAGGACATGTACCTGTGGTCGTGTCATACGTGGTAGGCCTACAGATTTCTGTTGTAGGCACTCAACAAAAATGTGCATGTACACTGAGTTGTAAAACTCTTTTTAACATTTGTTAAAATTTGGTTTAATTATTAATTAAGGCATGGTGTGGTCTGTATTTGTATCGTCAAATTGTTTACTGTTTGGTATTGGTAGAGGGAGGATTTAAAAACAAGACACTTTTCATTCACTATTTTTTTTTTCATTATTACTTTTTTTATAAAGATGTGCCGAAAATGAACTGTTTTTCATGTGCATGTATAATTTTTTTAATTTGTATGACGACAAATAAGGTAACATATTTCATCGACTGGTAGGGGTTTTTTTTGGTTTTATTTTTTAAAAAGATTTCTTTTTTTTGTTGACTGATTTTCAGTTTTTGTAAGTGTTTTCTGTTTTTCAATTTTTTTGGCAACAAAGTCTGTTTTTTCCCATTTTTAAAACTTTTGTACCAAAAAAGAAAACAAAGTAAGTGTACTTACCACGCATTAAAAAAAGAGACAAAAGCAAAATTCTATTCATCAGTAGAAAAACTTAAAGCAGCGGCTATGTGCCACTACCGGTAAAAACTTTTTTGTCCAAGTTATGACTAGCTGGGAGACAGAAACTGGCGAAGGAATGCATTTGAGTAAAAGAGAAAAAAAAGTTATGAAAAAATGATATAACATTGTCATTTTTCTGTATAAAAAAATTTAAAAGACACTAAAAAAAAACCAGCACACGTTTGTGTTTGACCTACCTATAACAAATGTAAACAATATATCGGACTTGGTGTACAGGCAGGCTCATATAGTTGTAAATCTTTGCATTTTCATGGTGCTTTTAAGTTTCATTGTTAAGGCCAAAAAAAATAATAGTTCTGCTTCCAGTTTCCCTACCTACCCTATTCTGACAGCCCGTACCCTAATTTTTTTTATTGGAAAAATGAGGGGAAAAAACCCAAAACCATCAATTTCTACCTTTTACTCTTGACTACCCGCAGATGCCTCCATATGATCGTACCCAAAAAGTTGGCAAAATAAAATTGTTTCCCTACCTACCTACCCTATTTTCAATTGCCATGTAATCGGAAGCAGAACTATTTTTTTTTTGGCCTAATGCAATTTTAAAATACATGTATGTGTATAATGTATTAATGACGGTGCAATGTGCATCATGTGTGTACCGGTAGGTCTGTGCAATCATTTTTTACCGTAATGTTTGCGTGCATTTTGTGGTTTGTGTTTTCATTGATCAGTGGCCATGTTTCTCTAATTTCACAAATATTACAGCAGTGATGACAAGAGTAGCAGTCGGCACTCCGATGAAGACTGGTTCCCTGGCAAAAGAACTGAGAACAAAACAAAGACAGCCCTCAAGGTACATAATATAATATTTGACTAGATATTTGACTTCTCTGCTTGTGGCCTCACTTGAGTGATTCGAAATAGTATAAAATTGCAGATTCCAGTGCAAATACTACTGTTGAATGTGTAGGGCTTTCCACTAGCTGTGCATCGGAACTGGGTATCACAGTACCTGATCGTTGATGTCAGGAACCGGTTTACGATTATGGGATCGGGTAACCGTAACCAACTTTACAAAGTACTTAGTAACGTCACAGACAATGAAAAAAGAAAGATTTTGAACGCTATTTGTGAGGAATTTTCAAAATGAAAACAGGCTACATGGGAAAACAAAACATGTATTTCACATTTATGACGCTCGCAAAAGTTGAAATTTGCACCGTTTCTTCCTGTATTGATCAGGGGTGTGAAATCTCAGCTTAAAAGCTGATTTCAGCTGAAATAGCTGTAACGTGGACATTCTGTCTGAAATGATGTTACACTTTTGCTCATGAATATGTAAATTTGCATTAGCATAAAACCAAAAAGGCACCAAAATGCACTTTAACTGAAATTTTAAAATAAGGTTAAATAGGACACAAACGTGCATTTCCTAGGACTGCATTAAAACATTTACATTAGTAATGTATTCTTCCCCTGAGAATGATTGTGTGAAGCAAACAACCGCCTCGACAAATAAAAAATCATTTTAAATAATTTTTAATGACCCTTAAATTGAAAAGTTCAGAGGTAACAGAGACAGGAAAAATGTCACACATTGTTGGATCCTAAATTTATAGGATGACCTGAATATACATGTATGCATGCTGAGGAGTTAGTGTGAATCTGCAAGTAATGCTCTGACATTTCTTTTAGGAAAGCAATGTCAAAACCAGCCAGGCCATAAAGAAGAAACCTGCTCCCAGGAAGGCTACAACAAGGAGGCAACCGGTCAACGAGAAGGAAAATCTTGTGGAAAAGCCGGTTGAGACTGTGGAAGAACTGCCCCCGACCGCAAAGGGGAAGCGAGTGACGAGGCTGAGTCGAAGGAAGAAGGTTACCGCTGACGTCAGGTCAAGCAGTCACGAGGACAGTGTGGCGCCGACCGCCAAGCCAGGGCGTTGCAAAGGAAAGAATGCGCTGGCTAGATTCGACCTGATTCACTCCCCCATCGAGAGGAGCTGGAGCTCCTCCAGTAAGCGGGGAAGGAGGGAATCCTCGGACATCACCTTTGACGCCAGCTGTGATCTGTTCGACTACTCGGCCGACGTCTCCGAAACCGGTAGCAGATGCACTACTGATAAGACTGCCAATGGGCATCTACCGAAAGCTTCACACTTGGACGACAGCGTTTTCGGCTCTCCTGGGGTATTCCTTCCTTCCAGACAGAAGGCCTGTAACCACAGCCACATTGACACCAGCACTCCAAACGACTTCAGAAGAACGGCCAGGTCAAGCCGTCAAAACACTGGGGTCATGGGGACACACCCCATCAATCCAGACACCCCTGTTGAGAAGAACAGCTCAGTTTCAATTTCCAGAGACCCCCACAGGGCCAGCTGCAGGTGTCCGGCTTGCGAGTCCAGAAGGATGAACACCCCAAGCCTCACAGATATCACTAATGAAATCTCAGTGCTTGATCTGAATAATACTGACAAGGCGGATGATAAGCCAGAAGGATGTTACGATAGCGATGGGATACTACAGAAGTCCATCACCAGAGCTGTTACATGTAGTTCTTGCTCTGTGGTTGTCACTCCATTGTCTGGGGATGATCTGAGCCGTTACTCTTCATCAGCAGTAATGTCCTGTCGGAAGGAAGCGTCGGTAGCAAGTTCATGTAAGGAGCAGGGAGATAAAGACAAGGAAAACAGGAGGATACAGCTGTTGAACAAGGACATTTTGGCCACTCCGAATTGTTCAAAGAGTCTACTGCTGTCCGACAGCTATTGCCCAAGTTTCAAGGTACGTACATGTACATTTTGTCGTAATCACAGCAAATTTTTCTTTTGAAATATTTAACAACAGGCTGACAAGAGGCTTATCCAAAGGAGTTATGAATCACGATCAATCAAAAATTTCGGAAATCGGGTGTGCTCAAAACTCAATCACAACTTAGTCATAAGTCTTCATCTGGTCTCGTTGCAAGTGGCAAGCTTCAAATAAAACTGTGACAAAGCATTTCTTTGTCATTGTTCATCCCCGGGAAGTTGTGAGCTTGGGCTGGAGATACAGTCAGATCCATAGCGAAAGTCTAGCATTTACTCTATTTACAGAGTGAGAGCTTGGCCGGATTTTAAGTTAATAACTGAGCCTTTGTCTATTTCATAGAGACTGTTAAGCAGTAAGCACAGTAAAAGCACGCTTAAGCCCAGAGGAAAAAGTTGCTTAAATCAGTGACGTAACAATATAAGTCTCCATGCGCGCGCAACCGTTGGCACATCCACGCCATGAAGTAGTGATTCAACAGCATGATTTCCTGCTACAATAAGCACAACTTTTCTGCTAACTGTTAAGCAGCGCTAAGCAATTGGGCCCTGGTTCATAGTTCAATAGGATGTTAAGTTGAAGCGAACTTTACATCATTGTGGGCAAAATTTACTGCAAATGTGTTCAACCTTGGCAAATTTGCATTGAGGATGGAAACTTGCTTTTGCATCACAAATTTGTGTGTTCGCTTTTCACTTTCCTGCTGAGTACACTATGATCCACAAGGAAAATTACCATCACTTATTCACTTTCTGCCTTAACATATTTGCAGGAGGCTCTGACACCAGTGAAGAGCAAGACTACCGGTCGGTTGATCCCCGCCCGGCAGAAGGTCCTCCAGCAGTGTGACCAGACATCTCCCATCTCCTTCACCCATGCCATCCCTCCGGATATGATGGAGGGCTGTGTCAAGATCGGGGAGGGGGTGTACGGGGAGGTGTTTAGAACTGTCAATACTGAGGGACAGACTGTGGTTCTCAAGGTTAGTTGAATCAACATCTGTGCGGGAGAAGGGGGAGGGGGTGGTATTTGGCACTTGTGTTTCATCACCACTACATGTAGCCTTGGTCAAGGCATTCGACAACAGTGTCCGATGATCGATGGTCGGCCGCTAAAATAATCATAGTCGTGCGCTATGACTCACTCGTACTGTGTATGAAGTGCGAACAGTGACCTGACTGACCTCATCCGGCTAGGGGCAAGTTCGCGCAAGAACTATTGTTGACCATTGGTTAACCATAGTTTGACTAAAGTTAGCCCGAACTCTGTCTAGTCGACGATGGTTGACTACGCTAGTCGACTATTTGGAACCAACCTACTGGGGCTGGTTGCATCGCTGGTAACCAATGGCTGCGCGCATTCATAATGTACAGCAGGGAGCCAGGATTCAGAAGTTTTGCGATGACATTTTGACCAGCGTTTTACTAGAGACGTTCGCACGTTGCTGTTGCGCAGGCGTAAGCTACGTCACAAATCAACCACTAGTCGACTAATGGTCCTTGCCCGAACTTGGCCTAGGCTACAATATGCAAATCAGTTGGTGCTTAACGAATGCCTTGGAACAACTGTGCATCTTGGCTTATGTTTTTCTATATTTTGTAGCTGCTCCAGCGAGAGAATAAAGATGAGAATAAAGATGAGATTATTATTCAGTACTTGGTTGTGGAGGCTTATATTTTACATGGAAAGAGAGGTGTGGATAGTATAGTTACATTCTCCAACAAGTTTGGAGTCTGCAGACTAAATATAACTCCAGGGACAAAATGACGAAAATTGCCCGAAAAAGGCAACGGTTAACCAGCACCAACTGATTTGCATATTGTAGCAATTTTGGCATGAGGTCGCTGTTCGCGCTTCGTACAGTACGTGTGAGTGCACAGCGCGCGGCTATTGTTTTTTTTTGTTTAGCGGCCAATCACCAGACACTATCGTTGAGAGCCTTGATCAAGACTACTTTTGCACATATACTTTATAGAATGACAGTAGGTGAGTCACTAAAAGGGTAGTAAACTCGTTTCCCTTTGATTGATCAGTGTTTGGTTAATGAAGTGCTGGCACAAGATTGGAAATGGCAGTTATGACTTAAACTGTATCAAAGTCATTTATATGCACCTGCACATGCACTTTCAGCTATTAAAATGCTCCATCCACAAGTGAAAGTGCAGTGGTGTGGTAAATAATCATTGGTTGCAGTTGAGTGCACAAGTGATGTATGTACAATGTACTTGTTGTTGACAAGTAGATGAAGAAGGAAAATCTTGTCTTGGTAATCGCCGCTATACTATGAAGTGCAAAAGATGTACATGTGCATGTATGTGTGTACCCCAAAGAAGTGTCTGCCTAACTATTTTTAAAATAACTACATAACCATGAAGTCAATTTTGAAAATTGTTCATTGTGCAAATACTCATTATCCCTGGCCTACAACCGTAATAATAAATTTCAGTTATGCATTACTACACAATGGTCAATTGATCACAACAACATTTCTGGACCCTATGACCAAGTTCCTTGCCTTAATGAATTTCAGTGCTGCGTTATGTAAGCTGTGGGAAAGCCTGCATGTTGTGGAAAAAAAAGGCTGATGTGGTTTGGGATTGGAATCATTTGCCCTTGAGCATTAAACTGAGGCCTTGCCACGATGACAGTATAGCCAGGCAAATGATTCCAATCCCAACCGCAGCCCTTTTCACAACATGAAGGATTTTACAGAGCTTACATATTAACACAGCACTAAAATTGATTAAGGCAAGGAACTTGGTCACAGGGTCCAAAACGTTGTTGCGATCAATTGACAATTGTGTAGTGATGCGTGACTGAAATTAAATGAAACTCATAGGGGTTTAGGCCAAGGATAAGGAGTATCTGCACAATCAAAAAATTTCAAAATTAACTTAATCATTATATAGTAATTTGAAAAATATTCATATTCAGATCACTTTTGGGGGACATACTGTATGTGTGTCGTGTGTTCAAGAGTTCATCGTTCATGAGTTGAAGCAGGCGCTTGCCCTTGAAGCGGGCGACAGGCAGTGAAGCTGCCTCACCTGTGTAGTGGTTGAGGCCTCGTCAAGTAGATAGTTTTCCAAAATTTGGATAATATTAAAATAAAGTTCAATCATTTCAAGGATGGATGTTGAGAAAATGGTGTAACCTGTATGAGTTTATTCTTCTTGTGTGTGCTAGATTATACCCATAGAGGGGGACAGCCAGGTGAATGGTGAGCCACAGAAATCGTTTGAAGAGATTCTTCCAGAAATCGTCATCTCCAGGTTTGAAAGAGTTGATTTCATCCTTTATCTGTGACTGCTCTAAGGGTGTGATTTTGCGCTGAATTTTTTGTAAACGTTAAACAAATATTTTGAGAACCGTTTAAACGTTTAGCCATTTCACAAAGGCTGACGCCTGCCCATCATGTCTGCAGATAGTCGTGATTGACATGATAAATCAACAATGACTGACAAAAATGACGGGCAGTAGTGTGGTTTTGCTTTTGCGATTTTCGAGTCAGGTCAGGTCGGTAAAGCCAATTTGGAAAACCGGAAATAACTCCCCCCCCCCAAAAAAAACCCTGAAACACTTCGGAAATTCAAACGGTGCAATACTTGTTGCAGAGTCACTGTGCCCGGTACGACATAACATGCAGGCCTAATGGTAGGTCAAGTTGTGAGTGCCGTAGAGTATGATTAAGTTACTTGGAGACGACGAGTTTCAAGCGATACAGGTATGTTCAGGCACAAAAAGTGGACACAGCTGTCCAAGCCAGCTATTCAGGGTTTTTTTCGGGGTGGTTTTCCTTGTATTTTTGTCTGGTCGGGTCGGGTCGGTTTTAGGGGGTTCAGATCAGGTTCGGATTTGGGATATATCTATAATGTTTCAGGTCGGTTTGGCCTTGTCAACCCAACCCGATGCACAACAAACCCAACCCTAAGCATTTCAACTACATAGATTTCAAGAACAGTAGTGCCCCTGTCTTTATTGATAGTTGCCAGAGACACTTTCGAATTCAGCGAAAATCAAAGCTCATCACCACAGAAATTGTAGATGCATTCATTGCCATTTTGCAGTAGGGTGGTTCCGCACAAACATTATCGTGATTTTGAATTCAGGGGGAGGGAGAGGGAATCAGACCAATGCAAGTCCTGCATACAATTTGCATACATGAATGCATACCTGGCGCTACATTCGAAGTCCAAAGGACAATGGAGGGACGGGGAACCAGTCTATGTGTACCTCTGAGGGTAGGTTAGTTATTCTGGTTAAATTAGCTGTTTTCCCCCGAAAATAACGGAAGAAGCTTTATACATGTACACGTGCAAGGGAGCTGAGATTTCCTGTGTCTGAAGGAATGTTTCATGACCTTGATGATTTTGGGTTGGGGAGTAATAATAATGAATAACACTGATTAGTACTTTGTTCCAAAATGCAGTATAATAATACCAAGTATTGTTGCTATTATTACATGTCATTTGTTTGTGTACTTCCCACTTCCAGGGAGTTGAGTGCCCTCAGAGATGCGTCTACCAGCACCACTGGTGGGTTCATCACTGTCAACGGCGTGTCCTACTGTCGGGGCTGCTATCCTGAGAAGCTGCTAGATCAATGGAACGAGTACAACAACAGGAAGGAATCTGAGAACGATAGGCCAGGTTGGTGATCCTAGTCTCAGTTATTTATAGGAAAACAACATCCAACGTGAAACCTTGCTGTTTGCAGTTAAGCTACGATTGATTCCAGTTGAAGGAAATTTTGAGTACAAACACTATGAATAGTTCTTTAACATGTACTCTTCAATTTGTGTAAAGTCTGTCTTCATATTCTCCGAATGTTAGGTTGTCTGCTGGTGGCTTTGGTATGAGAATGTCTAAGGGTTTAAAACTTCACAACCACACTCGGTCATTCACTTTTGTGAAATAGAGGTGTGCATCATAACTGGGTTCCAGATTATGGGATCGAGTGCCCGTTACCAAATTTACAAATTACTAAGTTACTTCTCAGACAGTGAAACTGATAGCTTTTCAATGCTATTTGTGGGGAATTTTCAAAATGAAAACCAGGATACATGTGAAATCCAAAACAGATGTCACGTTTGGGTTCATTTTAACGCGCTACAGATGACGCTTACTAAAAAAATGAAGTTTACACTGAAAAGCTATCAAGCTCTTTAGACAACTTCCAGGATTTGAATTTGGGGGTTGGCTTTCTTTTACGGTTACCCGTATTTTACTTCGATTGGATACCCGGTTCCCGTACTACCCGTAAATCCACACCACTATTGTCAAACCATTTTGTTGGCTTAATTTGTTTGCCCCCAGATTTTTTCCCGGAAGACCAGTTGTTCATCATGTTTGAATTTGCCGATGGTGGAATGGACCTGGAGAGTAAAAAGGTAAGATACTGGTACATTCATCAGATGTTTCTGTGTAATCCGGTATGTTTACAAAATAGATTTTTATATCTACATCAGCTTATTTACTTCTTTTTGTTTTAATGATTTGAACCACTTGTGTAATTATTGGACCTGATGCAAAAATGTTCTAGGTTCTCAGTTTAGAATCTCAGTTTCAATTCAAAAGTTACCGAGTCATGTTTTGAATTGCGCCCGACATCAGCGTCCGGGACACATTCTCATGCAGCCGATTGCAGCTACACGATGTCATGACTGAACTGACGAATAGTAGCAACCGCGCGCGTGTGTATGTCATGTCGATGCTTGCGCGCACCCATTCACAAATTCGCCAAATTACAAACCAACTAGTAACGGAAATTGTCAAAAATGCGTCACTTGACGCATCTTTGGAAATGTCCTTTTTTTACTGTTTTCTTCAAAATGACAGCATGCCAGAAAGAATAATTTCACAGGGAGTTAAGTGCCATTACAAGCTTTAAACCAAGTAAGCTTTTCAACAATAATTTTGTCAGCCACGTTTTGGATAGCTGCAATTGATCTACTCTACCCTTAACCCTAACCTTCCCTGAAGCTACAGAATACTACTAGTAGTAAACTGAAGGCAGTACTACCACACATAGTTTTTGTAGTACTATGTAGTGTGTGGTACTTTACTCCAAATGAACTCTTTTGGGGGTTAGGGTTGAGGATGAACACCAATATTTAATTGAGTTTCCCTTCACTTGTTATACTATGTTTTACTTACCAGCTTGAGAGCGTCCATCAGGCCGTCAGCATCTTCCAGCAAGTAGCCTTGTCCCTGGCAGTGGCTGAGCAGTCCCTGGAGTTTGAGCATCGGGACCTCCACTGGGGCAATGTCCTGGTCATCCCGACTTCCAACAAGTCCGTCAGCTTCTGGCTGGAGGGAGAGGAGATCAAGGTGGTGAGCCATGGAGTACTGGCTGGGATGATTGACTTCACCCTGTCGAGACTTGAGAAAGGTAGGAGATCTGTCGTAGTCGAGGAGGGGGAACAAGAAATAGTATTTGTGCGATGTGATTGTGTGGAGAAGGAAAACACTGTTCAATATGAGGTACATGCCAAAATGATTGATATGACCCTGCGATCGTGACCAAAGGAAGGTAAGGGGTCACCATAGTAGAGAAGGGAAGTGGTTAGGGATGTGTTTGGAAGTCCTTGTCTGTGGTTTACAGGCTGGGTGATTGATTCCTTCTTTTCCGTGACTCAAGATATTTATATATGTTTGTCATTTGGCATTTACAGATGGATGCACAGTGTTCTGTGATCTCTCCTCTGATGAGACACTCTTCACTGGCCGCGGTGACCCACAGTTTGATGTCTACCGGAAGATGAAAGATGAAAATAAGTAAGTTAGAAATAACCATCTAACGCAACTGACACAAAATGACGGTTCCTAAAACTACAGATACTGTATTACTATTTGTATTAACTACAATTGAATCACATGTTAACCCTTAATTTAGAGGGTATTATATATTATACAACACCCGAATAAATCCCCTTCATCTGATTGGCGCATCGTTGATCACATGTCATTGAATTATTCATCCCAACGCGCGCCGCTGCAATGGAAGTTCTATTCACTGTGCAATAGAACTTCCATTGCACTGTGTCACTGCTGCCGGTGGTGGCGCTGTTTCAAATCGAGATAAATTGAATATGATGGTTCTCAACCTGTTGAACAGTTTGCATATATTGAATATGATGAACTTGTCGAACTTTTAAACAGTTTTTAACCTGAATAAATTGGCTATTAAAAGTCAGCCAATCAGATGACAAGGATTTATTCAGGTGTTATATAAAACAAATAATGAATGTTTCACGTTCATGGAAAGAATAATTTCATTCGGTGACAGATGAAATTATTCTTACCATTGCACTCACAAACAATAATTTGTATATTAGTATATAATTAAAACGCCGGAGTCCAAGAGAGAGTTAGGACGACTGTTGAGTGCCATTGCTGTCGCATGCCTAGACTTGAATCAAGTCAGTAATTGGTTGGGTTTGCCCAGATACTGCATACATGTACCGTACTATCCCATGGTGCTTGTAGTTGTAGCATGCGTATAATGTATGGCATTTACATGTTGGGACGGTTTGTGCATCCTCAATCTCATTTTGACCAAGGCCAAATTGGCAATATGGACATGTTTTTCACGTACAAAACTCAACTCACATTCCAAATTTTGCACTTCCAAATTGTTCGCACAGTAAAGCAGAGTCAGTGTGATATGGCTGGGTTTATTCTGGCATGGGACTGGGTCCTACAAAGGGCCTCTAAAACAGGATTATTATGCACGGAGACGATTAACCCCTCGCGTACGGGAAGCGGTAATGGCCGCGGCCGCTAATCCTCATTGGAATGCAGTAGCCAGCTGTGGTATGCCGTGGCACAGGGCTAGTGGGTAGTTCCACAGCTGCTGCTTTTGTGCAGTCCCGCTACCACACAAAGGCTGTGCAGTCATGCGGGCCACTTGCTCTATGTATGGAGGAATGTCCCCATTACACCCCGTCCTTAAGGGGTTAACAGATACACTCCCGCGGCAACACGTCTTGGCGTTCTAATTTGCTGCCAAACCTTACCAATGTTCAGATAAAAATTGCCCAACCAAATCCGAATCGAACCTGAACCGAACCTGAGGGTTGACTTTCAGCACTGGAGCTCTTGGGAGTGATCACGAGTGAAGCGCCATGTGCTCTTCGTACACCCAGTGCATGGTTGCCTTAACAATCTCTGTGGATGTTAAGATGAGCTGCATGTTCTTTTTGTTGTAGCGGAATTTTATATAAGATCGAGCACTCAGTGCTTATTTGAGTACATATTTTGCTGACTTGTGTTGGACTTCAGGCCATTAAATATAGGAAGACCAGATTTAAAGTAAAACAAAGAGGGATATGTGGTGGTTAACGGTAATCCCTTTGAAATCTAATTAATATTTTCACCTACATTACATTCGCTTTCCGTGACTGTGAAGCAACAACTGGGAGCCCTGGAACCCCCACACCAACGTCCTGTGGCTGCACTACCTGTTGGACAAGCTCCTGAATGCCAAGACTTACCCGGGATACCGGAGGGACTCGACCCAGTCCTCGCTGCGCAGGGAACTCCGCAGCCTAGTCCGGCATCTGCTGAGCCACGTGTCAGCTGTGGAGGTGGTCAGAGAGAGCGGCTTGATGGAACTCTAAATCCAAACATTGAACCCTGTGGCTGCACTACCTGTTGGACAAGCTCCTGAATGCCAAGACTTACCCGGGATACCGGAGGGACTCAACCCAGTCCTCCCTGCGCAGGGAACTCCGCAGCCTAGCCCGGCACCTGCTGAGCCACCTGTCAGCTGTGGAGGTGGTCAGAGAGAGCGGCTTGATGGAACTCTAAATCCAAACATTGAACCCTGTGGCTGCACTACCTGCTGGACAAGCTCCTGAATGCCAAGACTTACCCAGGATACCGGAGGGACTCAACCCAGTCCTCCCTGCGCAGGGATCTCCGCAGCCTAGCACGGCACCTGCTGAGCCACCTGTCAGCTGTAGAGGTGGTCAGAGAGAGCGGCTTGATGGAACTTTAAATCCAAACATTGACCCCTGTGGCTGCACTACCTGTTGGACAAGCTCCTGAATGCCAAGACTTACCCGGGATACCGGAGGGACTCAACACAGACCTCCCTGCGCAGGGAAATCTGCAGCCTAGCACAGCACCTGCTGAGCCACCTGTCAGCTGTGGAGGTGGTCAGAGAGAGCGGCTTGATGGAACTCTAAATCCAAACATTGAACCCTGTGGCTGCACTACCTGCTGGACAAGCTCCTGAATGCCAAGACTTACCCGGGATACCGGAGGGACTCAACCCAGTCCTCCCTGCGCAGGGATCTCTGCAGCCTAGCACGGCACCTGCTGAGCCACCTGTCAGCTGTGGAGGTGGTCAGAGAGCGGCTTGATGGAACTCTAAATCCAAACATTGACCCCTGTGGCTGCACTACCTAGGACAAGCTCCTGAATGCCAAGACTTACCCGGGATACCGGAGGGACTCAACACAGTCCTCCCTGCGAAGGGAACTCCGCAGCCTAGCCCGGCACCTGCTGAGCCAGACGTCAGCTGTGGAGGTGGTCAGAGAGAGCGGCTTGATGGAACTCTAAATCCAAACATTGAACCCTGTGGCTGCACTACCTGTTGGACAAGCTTCTGAATGCCAAGACTTACCCGGGATACCAGAGGGACTCGACCCAGTCCTCCCTGCGCAGGGAACTCCGCAGCCCAGCACAGCACCTGCTGAGCCAACTGTCAGCTGTGGAGGTGGTCAGAGAGAGTGGCTTGATGGAACTCTAAATCCAAACATTGAACCCCACACAAAAATGAATGGGGTGCTATCATTCATCGCTTCAGTGCGTGACATCGCATAGCTGCAATCGGCTAAATGAGAACATGCTCTGGAGGCTGATTTCAGGCGCAGTTCAAAACATGACTTGGCAACTTTTGAATTGAAATGGAGATCCTAGAATATTGTTTTCTCGGAATATGCATGTATAGCATTCACAGAGCTAAAAGTTCATCACGTTATTTGTTAGCATACGTCTTTAGATTTTGAGCACTTTTGTTGCTTCAAACAAAACAAATGCACAAATGACAAATGATCTACTCTTCCTGTAACTTGGGCAACCGCTTACTGTAAGGCTGTCTATTAGGAGGTACTCAATAGAGGGTTGTGGCTTCGATTTCACGTAAGCCTTCTTGCTTAATCTATCTGGCAGTGCCTAAAACCTTATTTTGAAAAGGGAAAATCTTTGTCGGCAAATTCATTAATGACAAAAATCATGGTAGAAATAACTTTAAATTAACTTTAATATCGCGATATTTCTAAATTGTATTTCCGTATTGTTAGATACTGTACATGCACAATTTTTTTACTTGTAAAGTGAATTTTGTTTTATTAATTAATGGAGACAAAACTAATTTGTTACTTTGCCGTGTGTGTTGCAATTGGTTTGAACATGTCCAGTAATGTCAAAGTCTCATTAAAGGTGAACATGCTTGCATATAAATCAACACAGGTTTGCCTTGAATAACCTTTTTTGGTGTTCATAAGATGGAATTTTGCGTCGGGGTGATGTAAATCAATATTAGGTTTTGCCCTTCACCGACGTATAAAAACTGTATACTCCGTGTGTTACCTCCCGAGTGAAAGTTGGAAAAAAATCACTCAGGTGGGACTCAAACCCATGACCTGCTTTCTAGTGCATACGTCTTACCACTCGACCACCAAGCTTATGGGATAGGTTGGCTGGTTCGAATCTGATGTGCATAGCAGCGGGTACCGCATTAGCTATTCATAAGATTGAATTTTGCGCCGGGGTGATGTAAATCAATTTTAGGTTTTGCCCTTCACCGACGTATAAACACTGTATACTCAGTGTGTTACCTCCCGAGACAAAGTTTGGGGGAAAAAATCACTCGAACCCACGACCTCCTGCTTTCTAGTGCAGACGTCTTACCACTCGACCACCAAGCTTATGGATCGGTTGGCTGGTTCGAATCTGACGACATAGCAGTGGGTACGCATTAGTTATTCATAATATGGAATTTTGGGTCGGGGTGATTTAAATCAATATTAGGTTTTGCCCTTCACGAACGTATAAACAATGTACACTCAGTGTTTGATATCCAGCAATATACCATGGAGCTGTAAAAACCTAAAAGTTGTAACAAGCACTTAACGGTACTAATAAAATCTCTTGGTTAGGAAGCAGATTCGAGGAGTGGTTGCCATTAAACATACCTAATGGATCCGAGATCGATTCACAGCAAGGCCTTTTCGCATACTGCTTATTTTTACCCCCCTGGCTTTAGCCAATAGGGGGATCTTGCGATAGTGTATCCCTTCTGTCTGTGTGTATGTGTGTTCCATTTTGGTTAGGTTAACTGTTTAGTGCTGTCATATGAAAAGTCAGACTTCACTCTCAAACAAACTTGGTGACAATAATCTTTGGGTATCGGGACTTAAGATGACTTGAGACAATTCAGGTCAAAGGTCATCTAGGGGTCAAATGTGGTCATTGTTGATTTTAGTTGGGTCAACTGAAAAGTGTGCTTACTAACTGACTATAAATACTGCCAGCATGCCGGGGGTCGCGTAAGTTTATCTTGCAGTATTTTTTTTATAATAATATGAATGAGCAAGAAAACATTTCGAACACGTAGAGCTTATAGTACGGCAGATGGGTGCTGGAATTGTGCCTTTGATGATTCAAGCGTGGAATTTGGCACACGGTAAGAGTATGTTTTAAAAAAGATATTTGGTTATAGGGCCATCGCAGATTTGTCCTGTGAAAAAATATTGGTAAAATAACAAGCAATGGCAGCCATTTTCAATTTTTTTGGACTTATCAGTCTTGCGGTTGCTACGGCCTTGTTGGCCACTTACATAATACTCTATTACCTCCGCCACTGAGGTTATGTTTTCATCGGAATTCGTTGGTTGGTTGGTTAGTTGGTTGGATGGTTTGCCTGTTAACAAGATAACTCAACAAGTTATGGACGGATTTGCATGAAACATTTTTTCAGGGGTGTTCCTTGGTACAAGTTCAAATCGATAAGATTTAGGAAGTGATCCGGATCTGAGTCTGGATCCAGGATTTTTTAAGGATTCTTCACCATTTATGCGCGTTTCTTTCTTTTGGGTGTACCGACAATATGGCGGGAAGTGTTTAGCCTTGGCGCAGGCTTGCGTTCTCTGAGTGCTTTCTATAGCTTTGAATGACACAAGCTGAAATTACCGTTACACAGACCTTTGCACGTTTGCGGGCAAAATCTTTGAACATCAATATCTCCCGTTTTGTTGAAGACCGTGTGTTAATGCCACTTTCGGAGTTTGTTTACCTTCTAATTATCCAACTATGTGCTAAAAATCGTTTTGATATGTTCAGTATTTTTTCATTAAAATTGGGAAAGTAAGTTTGGGTACGTCCATTTTTCAAAGCTGCAACAAATGATGGTGTGCAGTAAAAATGTGTACGACCCCCTCCTTCACGAGTTATTCATTAATAAATGTCCACCTTTTTGGCGGGCTTCCATTGGTCGATACCGAGACCCACGAAAAGTCACGTCGAGTCACGCTAATGAGTATGCTGATAACGCACTACGTCACCGATACGGCCAAATCGGCCAAATCCTTTCGGCCGAATCGGCCGTAGGAACGTACCGGATCAGACCACGTCCGAGTCGAAATTTGCCTTAGTGAAAGTACAAGGTGTAACACAGGCGTTTGCAACAACAGATTAAGCTGAAATTTGTGCTTAAATGATATTAAATGGTACATTGTGCTTAAAGGATATTAGTGTTCAACTATACTCGTGAAATAAAAAAATTGTAAGGATTCCTAGAAATTGAGATAAGTAAATAGATTTGGGGACCTTTTCGAGCGATTTTTCCACGACTTTTAGGTAAGCTTTACCATGTGACCAGTAGTCCAGTATTGACACTTTTTTGCATCAATAACGGCGACTTTTTTTTCACCGATATGAAGTTTAGGATTTGTTCTACTATTATAATTTAACATTTAAATCATACTGAACTTATTTTTTTTTAATGAATAACGTTCAAAAAGTGATTTTTTTTTGTGCAATCAGTTCACTGCTCAGTCTGTGGTGTCCAGTTACGTAATCGGATTAACTTTGCTTATCAACGAACGATGCAAAGCCTTGGCAACCGCAGTACTATTATTGGCATGATATCCTTTTGACTTAAAGGGAATGTACATCATTGTCTTTTGCTGTAATTTTCAGAAATGAACTATTTGAGGGGTTAGTATAAAGTAGATCAAATATTGCTACACTGACAAGTTTGAAGTTTTGTGTTCGGAATGCTGGAAAAAGCGACAAAAACAAAAATGTTCAAGTAGTCTGGTTCCCTGACTCCACTAAAAATGAAATGAATCAATTTATAGATGCCGGAAAATTGTAAGGTAAGGAAACCAGTCTAGCTGGCCTTCACCCGTTCATGAACATGTAACCAATAGCAAACAAAATTTGTGCTTTAAACAAAAATGGTAAATAATTGGAGCAGCAGTTGAAAAATAGTTAGGATTTTTCCAACGGTGGTCGGCCGACCACCGTTGGAAATTTATACAAAATACCACTTGTCTTGAAAATGACTTCACACCAGGTGCCATAATTTTACAGGATGCTTTAGACTTTCATTTACCAACATCCTAGTAAGCTATTTCGTAAAAGT